GTTTGCATCTGCCTTGGATATTTTTGTTGGTTGTTTGGATGGCGCAAGAATAGTTTTGGAATCCTTTGCTTTTGTATAGCATCGAAGTGGTCCAAACTCTACACCTTCATTTGTAGAAGATAGGATGTCTATACAAAATATTGGACAAGCGCGAAACCCAAAGTCACCAATTGAAAATTCTACTGCTCTTTCCCATTTCTTCGGATCTGCTACTGTCTCTTTTTTCTGATGTATATGTTTCCCTGCTATTCTCCTAGTTTTTGTGTGTGCATACCATGCTGCAAATATCTTCCCAAGAGGTCTAGAGGCGACTATACAAAATCTATCCAATTTCTTTGCCAAGTTTCTCCATTGGTTTTCTGGTGGTTGTTCGAGAAATAGTGGTTCTTCTTTGGGGGATACCAACTCTAGAATTTCGTCTACAACCCAAGGTCCTATGTCTTCGTCTGGTGCATACACAGATACTTCTATTTGAGAACAACCTCTTTTCTCTACGTCTGGATGCAAAAATGTTTTTTGTAGGTGTCTATTTGGACAATCTACGTATTCGCAAAGATGTGCTCCTATTGGATTCCGAACGTCCCCAGCTTCGAAATTGGAAACAACTTTGTTGTATATCTTCGCGGAAAATGTTCTATTGTTCCTACTGTATACCCAAGTACAAACATGTTCTCCTACAGATGCTGTATTGTCTAGAATTGTTCCTTCTCTTTCTCCACAATCGTATTGTATACCTTGTAGAAAGTATCCCTCGCTTTGTAGGTATTCCACTAGTTTTTTCCTATCTACTACACCAGAACAGTCTCTGGTATAGTCTATGGAATATATCTCGTATCCGAAGGAATATAGTTGCGTGTGTAGTGCATCCAACCCCTTTTGTGTTTCCTCTAGGGACAACTCGGAGACTTCTATTTTGCACACAAATATACATTTGGGTTCTTCGTTGGAAAATCTTTCCATCCATTTTTTCTTTGCTTTGTATTCTGTTTGTTTTTGTATTCGTTGTATTGTGTCTCGCATTTTGCTCCCAGCGCCTCCTTTATAGGAAATTGTATTTGCAATAGTAGCATGCACGCGACATCCGTATACTTTCTGCATTGCTATTTGTATTTCTTGTAGTATACGTTTTGCAGATCCATTTTCTCCAATTGTACAAGACACAGATCCCAGTAGAGATACTATATCGTTTTCTTCTACATAGCCAAATACATACATATCATCTACAAATGTTGGCAGGCCATCCAAAGGTTCTAGATGTGTTCTACCAAGATTTCCTTCCAAATAGTCCACCTTGGATATATCTGGTAGCAAGTTGTCTTCGTATGCATTCTGCACTAGTATATGTTGGAACACAGACATTTCTGCACGTATGCCCATGTTCTCGATAGTTGTATATTTCTCTTCTTCCATTTTTGTTCTATACTGTAGTTGGGCACAAATGTTCAATTGGAATTTTGTGCGCTTTTTCTATATATTGAATGGAAGAATCTTCCACTTCTTCTTCGAATTTGTCTATCTTTGTATTTGCTACTAGTAGTTCTTGGTTTTGTGTTTTTTCTACAACTAGTGGATTGTATTCTATTTTTTTGTTCTCGTTGTTGTAGAATGTTTTTGTTTCTTCCACGCACAAAGACAATTTGTCTCTTACCATTGGGATCCAATACATAGACTTTCCATATCTATACGGTTTTGTGTGTTGTGCAGCTGTTTCTAGCAATTCTAGTATCTTTCACAGTCTTTTTGTTTGCCAAATAGCGGGAAAACAATATACATCTACATTTTCTATATTTTCGATACTTCTAGCTACAACACATTCTCCTTTCCATCTGAGTATAGAAATAGTTTTTCCAGAAAATTCGGACATCTTTCTACACCAGCTTCCCAAACTTTCTTCTACAATATTTTTGGTATCTGTAGATGCAATTCTATATTCTTCTATATTCTTGTATGTTTTTTTGTATTTCTTCTATTTCTTGTTCTCTCTTTTTCCTTTCCTCCTTTTCTTTTTGTATTCTTTGTTCGTGTATTTTTGCAATATTTTCTTTCCATAGATTGCTATCCAACCAGTCTTCTATGTCTTGCAATCTTTGTTCTCTATTGCATCTGGAAAGAGTGGATATTTGTCTTTTGGTTTCCATTTCTACTGCTTGGAATTGGGAAACTTCTTTTCCTATTCTCTGGGATTTGTTTTTCCAGAATATCCATTCTTTGTGTTCTGTACTTGGGAGAAGCATGGAAGGGTTTGCATCTGCCTTGGATATTTTTGTTGGTTGTTTGGATGGCGCAAGAATAGTTTTGGAATCCTTTGCTTTTGTATAGCATCGAAGTGGTCCAAACTTTACACCTTCGTTTGTAGAAGATAGGATGTCTATGCAAAATATTGGACAAGCGCGAAACCCAAAGTCTCCAATTGAAAATTCTACTGCTCTTTCCCATTTCTTCGGATCTGCTACTGTCTCTTTTTTGGGATGTATATGTATCCCTGCTATTCTCCTAGTTTTTGTGTGTGCATACCATGCTGCAAATATCTTCCCAAGAGGTCTAGAGGCGACTATATAAAATCTATCCAATTTCTTTGCCAAGTTTCTCCATTGGTTTTCTGGTGGTTGTTCGAGAAATAGTGGTTCTTCTTTGGGGGATACCAACTCTAGAATTTCGTCTACAACCCAAGGTCCTATGTCTTCGTCTGGTGCATACACAGATACTTCTATTCGAGAACAACCTCTTTTCTATACGTCTGGATGCAAAAATGTTTTTTGTAGGTGTCTATTTGGACAATCTACGTATTCGCAAAGATGTGCTCCTATTGGATTCCGAACGTCCCCAGCTTCGAAATTGGAAACAACTTTGTTGTATATCTTCGTGGAAAATGTTCTATTGTTCCTACTGTATACCCAAGTTCATACATGTTCTCCTACAGATGCTGTATTGTCTAGAATTGTTCCTTCTCTTTCTCCACAATCGTATTGTATACCTTGTAGAAAGTATCCCTCGCTTTGTAGGTATTCCACTAGTTTTTTCCTATCTACTACACCAGAACAGTCTCTGGTATAGTCTATGGAATATATCTCGTATCCGAAGGAATATAGTTGCGTGTGTAGTGCATCCAACCCCTTTTGTGTTTCCTCTAGGGACAACTCGGAGACATCTATTTTGCACACAAATATACATTTGGGTTCTTCGTTGGAAAATCTTTCCATCCATTTTTTCTTTCTTTTGTATTCTGTTTGTTTTTGTATTCATTGTATTGTGTCTCGCATTTTGCTGCCAGGGCCTCCTTTATAGAAAATTGTATTTGAAATAGTAGCATGCACGCGACATCCGTATACTTTCTGCGTTGCTATTTGTATTTCTTGTAGTATACGTTTTGCAGATCCATTTTCTCCAATTGTACAAGACACAGATCCCCGTAGAGATACTATATCGTTTTCTTCTACATAGCCAAATACATACATATCATCTACAAATGTTGGCAGGCCATCCAAAGGTTCTAGATGTGTTCTACCCAGATTTCCTTCCAAATAGTCTACCTTGGATATATCTGGTAGCAAGTTGTCTTCGTATGCATTCTGCACTAGTATATGTTGGAACACAGACATTTCTGCATGTATGCCCATGTTCTCCATAGTTGTATATTTCTCTTCTTCCATTTTTGTTCTATACTATAGTTGGGCACAAATTTTCAATTGGAAATTCGTTGGGCACAGTTGTATGCTTTGGACACATTCTATTGCTCTAGTGGAAAAAATATTTTTGGGGGTGGCGAAATCGGGGGTGCCAAACAAGAAAAAGACGCCCTCTTGATAGAGAATATTTTCATTTTAGTTTAATGTCATGATGATCTTTGAATCACATCATAACTTTTGCATAAGAAATTCCATCTGTAGTAGTGGTATAGGTATATAAATCTGGCTCCATTGGGGTTGCGGCAGAACCCCCATTACCTATACTACTTAAGCTATGGGGGCTCTGGACCAGGCCAGAGTATCTATTTTAAAAATAATAATTTGATGCTTTTTGTCGCTTCAATGGGTCCTGGGGCCTGGTCCAGAGCCCCCCTAGCATATACTACCCCTGGGTATATAACCGTATATCATGTTAAGTTCAGATGTGTGTTTAGTCTTCGGTTTGAATGCTTTAATATGAAAGGATACCGCTATATCTTGATTTCATTGAACACTGCTCTATTCTAAAGGTAACACAACTCTCTTTGTTATATCACACCACATTGACCAAGTGTGTAGATAGACCCCTTGCTTGAACCAGCCTTTCATTTCTATTGCTCACATAAAATCACTGCGAAAGTGAGTACGAAAAACGAACACTATATTTAGAGGCTGTCAGAGTAACTGAAGTTTAAATTCAAAAGATCTGTTTTAAGGTAAAGCTTTCGACTGGTTAGATCTAAATGTCAAAAACTAAAACATGTCCTACCCCCTCTATCGACAAATCGTGTGTAATTTAAGGGCCAGTGATGACATGTATATATTGACAATTTAAAGTGACTATGTCATGGCACACACAGCGAATACATGGATCTCATATCACTAGCTTTAATGTCATAACTCTCGAAACTGATATATCCTATTGACCTGAACCTTTCTTGTAGTAAACCCATGCACTCGGTACATCTGTAGTCACATAGACAATCTGAACCAGATGTAATTATACACTTGTGTGTATTGTTAGTTGTCGTCAGGTCTCGAGTGGAAGAGGGTGTGATGTACCCTGTGTGCGAGGCTACGTACCCCGAGCCGGTAAATATGTACCTTATCTGCGAGCGGGGTTTATTGGAAATACGTGTCCGTTCAGTAACCAATGAGAAACATATATAGCATTGTTGCCTTGTCAAGCCAGCCTTTCTTTACATACTTCAGATGGGGCGACAATGTGTCAACGCGACAAATTTTGATCTTGAAACAACTTGAATTGACAGTAAAGCAATTTTAGTATTCCAAGCGTGACAGTGCCACAAATTAAATAATTTTTATTTCATCTTCAGTATAATAATAAAATTCAATTATCAACTGCCGGTTTCATTTTATAGGGAAAGGGAGGTTACTCTTGATCTGTCTGATTCACGTGCAGTTGTCACGTGTTAATCCTTTCCGCTCATGTTGCGCTATATAGACAGCAACAACAATTTTTGCTCGCTCTGCACAAGAAGTATTTTATCAAGAGTAACCGCTTTCCAGCTCGCTATGTCACGCAAAAAGGATGTCTCAAGATCCTTAGGGTCGACGGGCAGGGCTAGAGGGGCTGGAAGAAAGAGGAAACTTGTTCAGCGTGCGGACAGCGAGGTAGCGACGTCGGCCAAGCAGACAAGGATTGCGCCCGCCAGTTTCGTCTCAACTACAGGTGAGTTATCCCCCTTATATATAGTTGATGATTCGTGTAGCAGGTCTGACAGCAGCATAAATATTACAAGTGGTAGGTCTAGTAATACTGATAGTAGTACAGCTACAGTTAGATTCTAACCAGTAGGCGATAGGCCTATTGAGCTTGATAGCAGCGACAGCGGTACGCTTGTTATGGCAACCGGCATTAGTCAGTCACAGGGGCTTGGCGTGCATGATTTCTCACAGTTTATTGCTCCTCAGCCTATCGTTCTCTCCCAAGATAACTTAGGTTCCAACATACCTCAAAATATCAAGGAGAAAATTTGGAAAAATGAGTATGTGGAATTAGGGATCTTAACTAAAGGGCTCAGACAGGAGACCTATGACAACAACCAGTAGGAATCACGGGCCTCAATGCACAAGGGGGTATAGAGGGGTTTCAGCTCCTATGATGCAGTGCGCGGTTGCCATGTTGGTTGTCAACCTAAACAAGCGCGAAACGTAAACACGCCGGAGATTTTTTTTCAACCTGCCGATATGCCTGTTTCGTGTGCGGTTATAAATTGCAGCAATCGTGCAAACAGAGACAAGAAGAGTTTTTTCAGATTCCCTGCTGTAATCAATAACAGTGATGAGATAACGAGGGATCTGAGTCAGAAGCGGCGCCGTTTGTGGTTGGCAGCTGTCAACAGAGAAGATCTCGCATTCAAGGACACCCGATACATGCGTGTGTGCAGCGATCATTTTGTCGGCGGTAAGTTTGAAATGTGTATGACAGGTAGGTTTTTCGTAGTGCGAAATTATGTTCCGCCGTCCTTCGAAACCGAGTATGCTTTCAATATTTGAAACGGATAGAAGGTAGATAGGCCCTAGTACTAGGCCTAGATCAGAAGGTAGATAGTACTAGATCTACCAGGCCTTTCCCTGTCTTCATAAAACCATGTCTAGCGTTGCTGTAGCGAATGTATTTTTTTGTGGTACGACATTAATAAGTTTTTTAAATTGTCTTTGCAGTAGCATTTTTAAGATGACAATATAACGATCCTCGGTGATCAGTGGTCATTATTTCAACCAGGCCATCAGGGCTAAATGTTGTCACTGATAACTGTAAACAATGTGGAGCATGTCTGAACTGCATATGCCTCCATACAATTAATTGTGTTGTTGTGATTGTAAATACGTCATGGTTAATGTTAATAAATAAATAATCTTCTCCAGGTTCTCCATCAGCCCTGTATCAGGACACCCATCCAGGTTGGATACCTAGTGTGAAACTTGGCTATGACAAGGGCGACAAAGGCGACATGGGTTCTCGTTTCTTCCGTCTACAGGTAAACTTAACTAATAATGTTAATTAGGCTGATTGTGGTTTGTCTAGTGGTAGAAATATGGCACACACACATGGGAAAAAAATTAAGGGTTGCAAGGTTTATTTTTTGTTGCTATAAAGCATAGGTATGAAACGTACCCCCTCTATCTTCATTTGGTTACATTAGGTTTATTGCCAGGACTTCTTGAGTTTCATGTTTAATTTTGAACACTGTTTGGGATAAAAATATGAAAACATCAATGTCATGCTTTAAGTGTACATATTATATCAGTGTAATTAAAATACATGTATTTTACTAAAGATTACTGCTCTTTGTTATTTAGGGACGCAAGGAGGCGACACGACTCCGTGACCTGCGATTTGATGAAGAAGAGCAACAAAGTGAGGCAGAACCGGATGCTGAACATGCTGAACCAGTGGATCAGGACATTACACCTGAAGAGGAACTTAAAAGTTGCAAGATTAAAATTGACATTCTTAAATCAGAAAATGAATCTTTAAAACACGAGAATCTTCTACTCAAGAAGATAGTGCATAAAATGAAAGCAAATAATACTGAAGATTTTGATGGTGATGATGATAAAGTACGATATTATACTGGTCTACCATCCTTTGTATCACTACTTGCATTGTTCAATCTAGTATCATATGGAATTAGTCAACCTTCACATTCATCACTGACAAAATTTCAAAAGCTTATTATTACACTAATGAGACTCCGATTGAATTTACCCACTCTTGACCTAAGTTATAGGTTTGGTGTCAGTAAAGCTACTATTTCCAGGACATTTAATCAGGTGATGGATGTCTTGTACATCAATTTGAAACGACTTGTATTCTGGCCTGATAGAGAAAATTTATGGAAAACAATGCCAATGATATTCAGAAGGTATTTTGGACGCAGAGTGTCTGTTATAATAGATTGTTTTGAGGTTTTTATTGATAGGCCATCCAATTTGACAGCTCGAACCCAGACTTGGTCAACGTACAAGCATCATAATACTGTAAAGTATCTTATTGGCATCACTCCCCAAGGTTTTGTAAGTTACATTTCTGAGGGATGGGGAGGTCGTGTTAGTGATAAGTATTTGACAAGTAATAGTGATTTCACCAACCATCTTTTACATGGTGATATAGTATTAGCAGATAGAGGCTTTGATATACAAGAAATTATTGGTTCTTGTGGTGCAGAGTTAAGGATCCCAGCTTTTACACGAGGTAAACCACAGTTAAGTGGCACTGAAGTTGAGGAGACAAGAAAGATTGCCAATGTGAAAATTCATGTAGAAAGAGTTATTGGTAGTGTCCGTCAAAAATATATGATACTCAGCAGCACTGTTCCCATTGATTACCTGATGACCAAGAGTACTGATGCTGTTCCACTTCTTGATAAGATTGCCCATGTTTGCTGTGCACTTACCAACATGTGTCCATCAGTTGTTCCATTCCAGTGAAAGTTTATTACTTATACTTGTAAAAGATTAAATACAAAAACAAAATGTCAAGTGTGTTTAATGATTTCATAATTATTATGATTCAGGAATAAAACCACCTAGACATGTTTAGTGTTACCTAAAATCCCATTGTATTGCATAGGCAATACATCTGATTCAGATTAGCCCATGTTCATTCTGTGCCAAGCACCACTGTGGTTCACTTGAAAAAATGTTTCAACAATATGAATTGATAATTTCATCATGGATGTATTATCATTCAAACAGGTCATGCAGTTACATCAGATAAAACTAATTGTTAATGAAATAACCTCACATTGAAATGTGATTACTGATATTTCTTTTAACTTGGTGATTTTGCTGCAAAATTATCTTGAACAAGTGTTAGTATGTCTTTGACCTACTTGGCAGATCAACAGCAAATATTTCATACATATGACTTTGAATTACTGATCCAATGTACAATCTGTCAAATGTAGAAATAAATCTAATTCTGAACATGAGAAATGGTCAGTTTTTTTTATAGTTTTAATTTGTACAGTTTGTATGCGCAATTTTATAACGCATGAATATCCTTTTGAGAACAAGTTTCATTAAGACATGGTTTGCCAGCTCAGTTACAGAACAGTGAGGACTGAGTCACACTGAAAAGTTAAAAGGATCAGGTAAAGTTACTGAAATCACACATCACTCTTCACTATTGTGTTTGCGCTTCGTTCCTTTGATATTTGAAGAACAATCTTTACAAAACCATTTTCCTTTTGGTTTTCGTACAAGACCAACACACTTGAAGTGAAACCATCTCACTGTACATTCTTTCCCATCGCAGCCAACATACTTGCTTCCATCTTCTGGTGTCCTGCATGTACAAAACAATTCTTCCCCAACACTTTCTGGAGCAACCCTTTCACACGTGGTGTTCAAGAAGTGTCGTGCAACAATCTCTGGTAGAATAACAGATGTGAAGAACTGCATCGCCTGATCAGCTACTGGTTGCCAGAAGGCCACACAAGGTGTGATTCTCTCCATAAAAATATCATCATTTGTCCAAACAACAAAGTCACAATAATCATGATTTGTTACAAATAGTTGTGTTTGCACCTGGTAATAGTACTGACTGTCCCTTTTCAGTTGCAGTGACCCATTAACCTCCTCTAAGTATACTATATTGTTATCAATTAAGTCATCCTTGGCACAGTAAGGACATTTAATCTCAAGGCAGCCCCTTCAACAACAGCTACAGTCAACAATACCATCAGGAGTCGCACCAAGATGTGGATACTCACAGCTAAGGAATAAACCACATTCCTCAACACTGAAGTTATGGTGATGCTCACAAGATAATTTCTCATAGGCATCCCTTGCTGTTACCTCATGGCTTCATCCCCATCTTGTAGCTGGATTAGAAAACTTGACCTCAGTCGGGTAACAGATATGGCGAAGTAAACTCCTAGAAGGGTCCAACAATGATGTACGACTTGCGCTTTTCATCATTGATGCCGTTATACGTCCAGCCCTGAACTGAAACCAAAGTGGGGGACCTGCTTGGTTCTTTGTTGCTGCTTCAACTGCTGTAACCTCCTCTTCTGTGATGCTCAGCTGATCTAAAACATTCTGACAGTGTTCTAAAACTTCATTATATGGGATGCCAACCAGACTTTCATCAAACAGCTCAGGAATCACTTGTGGAAATTGTGGTTGTAGTGGTACAGGTACATATTGATCACTATAATCACTATGAACTGCTAGACAAGATGGTCTGTCTGCATTAATAGTATGAAGAAAGGTGAAAATTATGTGTAGATGCAGGTCCTAACTTAATTATGGGTAAGTTTAGCACTGGATGAACTTGAACATGTAGCAGATGAATCATCAATTAATAAGTCAAGTTTCTTCTTCAATGTCTTTGAAGAGGTAAAATCAATGTCTCTTAAAGATGCATATTCAACCTTTTTCATCAAAGCTGGAAGTTTCCAGTTGGCTGGTTCCTGTGTTACGGTGGTACTTTCCCTCAGTCTAACAATAGCTTCAACAGCAAACATCACACTTGCTACATGTGTGCACGATTCTCCCAAACCTGCCATACAATTGCAGTGGGCTGACAAAACTTTGCCCGTGTCATCAGTGATGAACCAGGGGTGCAATGGAGCTTCATTCAAGCGCTGGGAATGCATTACCTGTAAACATACAGTGGAGGAGTTAATTTTATTTCAGATATAAAATTTACATTTAAAAAGTGAATGAAAATGATAGTATTCTCAATTCTAATACTTCATAATAATGGACTGAGCATTTAGACGTTTCATGAAAGGATTGTGAAGGTAATTTGCATGTGTATAATTTCAATGACTTGCTGAAGACATTTTGGATTCTGTCTGAAATATTATCTCCAGCTGTTATTTAATTTGTCTAACCGCTTTATAATATCCACGTAACCCACCCGAATGTTATCACTACGTAAACACACATTTATGTATTGGCTTGGCTCTTGTACAGTAGCAGTTGTATAGGATGTAGGTAAGCTGTTGTTTACTTACTTTTGACTTCACAACGTGAATGGCCTTTCCATCTTCGATGGACAAATGCACATACGAGACAATGTCTCGTACCCAACCACATACAAATCTATCATATGCTTCCAAGCTCCTGTAGTTTCTGATGTCTGATAAACTACAAAAAGGACTGGGACTGAATACCAGATAGTTGACGATGTCGATGTAGTTAGTTGCCGGCAAATGCTTGTGGTTGTCACTCCATTTCGATTTCGGAATCCTGTACGGATCTTCTTTGTCGATCACACCAGTCTTCTAGTGATATCTTATACGAGATACTTTGTCCAATAAATTAGCGTAGTTATCCATTACAGACGATTGCGAGATGACAAATAGGAGCAGATAGACGCCGACGATTGCAGAGCGAGTGTGCTGCTAATGACGCTATATTGTTGCTAGGGACGCGAATACAACCAACATGGCGGCGCGCACGGCATGACGGGATAACTCTGAAAACCCTCTATTGAGGTTATAAGGCGCAATTATCCCAGAATCAACACAATCGAGGAATGGACAGATGCATTCTTGATATTTGTCAGCATTTATCTGGAGAAATTTGGGGGCAAAGCACAGCACATGCTTAAATACATGAATATTGTACGCATGGCAGCTACAAGGATGAAGGTTTATGGCTGGCGTTCCTATGATCAGCAGTTTCGACTTCGCCATGCTCACAATCCTCACGAACCATGGTCTGTCATCAATAATGAACTCTGGCTTATGTTTGCAACCCCATCATCAAGTGTTAGTATCAATCCATACTACAGGCAAGGTCAAGGCCAAGGCCAAGATGTTAAGCCCAACATGCGGACAAAACGCCAGCTTCCATGCTATGACTTCAATCTGACGAAATGTAGCCGCAGTGTGTGCAGATATGCACATGTGTGTACCAGTTGCAGTAAGCCTCACCTTCCCGCCTTTGTAAGAATATGTCAAAGTTGGCACATGTAAATTAACTCCCCAAATTGGAAAGCAACCTAGTTTTGCCTGATAAAGGTAAATCACCAGTCAATCTGGAACATTAAACAGCTTTGTAAAAAAATTACCCAGACCAAGACACGGCTGAATACCTAGGTGTGTGTGTGTGTGTGTGTGTGTGTGTGTGTGTGTGTGTTTTGGTTTTAGTTTGAATTATACAGGTCCAAGGGAAGCATGTTATTCTCATAACTTGAAATCATGTACAGAACTACCAGAAGTAGTCAGGCAGAATTTTCAGAAAGAAATTACATCAGGTAGGATGGCAGGACCATTTAGTTTCCCACCACTTCCAAAATTAGGGTGCGGCAATTGGGCTTGTCCCAAAGATAGAACCTGGAGAATATCGGTTAATTCACCATTTGTCATACCCAGAGGGTACATCAGTCAATGATTATATTGATGATGAGTATGCCTCAGTTTCCTACACAAGTTTTGATGAAGCAGTGGACTTAGTCCACCAATTTGGCAAAGGGGCAATGTTAGCAAAAGCAAACATTAAAAGTGCATTTCTGTTATGTCCAATCAATAATCAAGATTTTGATCTCTTAGGTATATATTTTCAGGATAACTATTATGTGGATATGTGCCTCCCAATGGGATGCCGCACGAGCTGTGCAGTTTTTGAAAAAGTAGCAAGTTTTATACACTGGGCTACTCAATGCAGGTTGAAACAAGGGGCATTACTTCACTATTTGGATGACTTCTTTTTGGTAGCTCACCTAACCCTAATCATTGCCAAGACGCTCTTGACACCTTTTTGTTGCTATGTCAGAAGTTGGGAGTTCCTATTGCTAGTGAAAAGACAGTGCTTCCATGTACTTGTTTGACATTCCTTGGAATTGAAATTGATACAGTAACAATGGAATTGAGAATACCGACAGACAAAATCAATCAATGTAAAAACTTACTTCATGGGTTTGCAGATCGTAATAAAGTGAAATTGAGGGAAATGCAGTCACTTATAGGTTTGTTGAACTTTATCTGCCGAGCAATCCCCATGGGACGCCCATTTTCAAGACGATTTATAGATTCAACAAGGAATATAAAGAGAGCATATCATCATATCAGGCTGACTAGAGGGATGCAGGGAGATATTAATACATGGCTGGAATTTTTAAGCTGTCACAATGGTATTACAGTGTTCCCAGACCAATACTGGATGTCAAGTGACTCTCTACAGTTATTTACAGATAGTGCGGGTGGAGAGCATTGTGGATTTGGTTTGTACTTCAAAGGCAGGTGGGCAGCTGGATTATGGCCCAAGGAATGGAGACTCCAAGGTTACACCTCAGACATCACATTCATGGAGTTTTTCCCAATATTTGTGGCAGTTCATATTTGGGGGGAACATCTCACAAACAAGAAAGTGATATTTAATTCTGATAACCAGGCAGTAGTGCATGTACTGAATAGGTTAACATCGTCATCACCGAGAGTAATGGTTTTAGTCCGTTTGTTTACTCACAAATGCTTGAAGCTTAACATAATCATGAAATCTCAATATATTCCAGGGTGCTACAACAGCATAGCAGATTCTTTATCCCGCTTTCAGTTGCAGCAGTTTCGGATTCTAGCACCCCAGGCTTGTCCGCAGCCAACCCCAATACCAGATTCTCTATGGCAGATATGGAAGACGAAGCTAAAAGGCTATTAAGTATGTCAGTATCTCAAAACACCAATAAGGCATACAGGTATGCGTTGCATGGATTTCAACAGTTTCGTTTCAGCAATAACCTAGATCAGACCTGGCCGGTTCCAGTTTCGCAGATTGCTGATTACATAACCAACCTATCATTGGAGGGTAAGTCTCCAGCAACAGCTTATCAACATATCTCAGCTATCAGTAGATATCATAAATTAGCCTCATTATCAGACCCTACAGAGAATTTTGTCATCAAGAAGTTGTTACAAGGAATAAGAAGAGATGCTCAGAAGCCAGATACAAGAGCTCCTATCACCTTACCATTGTTAAAACAGTTAACGGAAGCCTTGCGATCTGTTTCAAAGTCAGTGTACGAGACTATTCTGTTTCAGAGTATGTTCTCCTTGGCATTCTTTGGATTCTTGCGTGTAGGTGAACTAGTGAGTAACAGTGGCCCAGCGTATCAGGGACTGCTGCTATCTGATGTCATATTAAATACATCAAGTATTGTTATGACAATTCGCATGTCCAAAACCGATTTGAGAGCAGCTCAACTTCACATTGGAGCCCATGCTGATGTTTCAATTTGCCCAGTGGCATTGCTGAGATTGTATTTGGATAGCAGACCCCATTCATCATCCAGAGAGAGTTTTTTCATACATATTGATGGTCTTCCAGTTACAAGATACCAGTTTTCTTCAATGTTATCAAAAGCGTTAGGGTGTGTTGGTCTGGAGCACAATAAATACAAGTCTCACTCTTTTTCATTGGTGCAGCTACCTCAGCAGCTATGCATGGTATCTCGACTGACGTCATCAAGTGTTGGGGAAGGTGGAAATCGGATGCGTTCAAACGATATATCAGAATAGCTTTAATATAAGGAACGGTAACAATTCATGTGTATGCTTAACCTGTCAACTAAGTTTTTCAGACATTTGGTTCGTCGGATCTTCCTATGTGTATTGGGCTCAGAAGAATTCACAGTGGTTAGGATGAATTTGCGACTAGACCAGCTGGGTGCTGAGGTGAAGTGGCTTGGCAAGCTAGGAATGAAGATGGACGACTTGAGACCATGCATCAAGAATAGACTCAAGACACATCCTCCTCCGAAGGTACTTGTATTACATCTTGGATCAAATGACCTAGTGAAGGATAGTGGTGTAGACTTAAGTAAGAAAATAGAAGGGTTGGTTTCTTGTATCACAGCATCTATGCCTGAAGCACTTCTGGTGTGGTCGGAAATCCTACCTAGAAGGGTGTGGCATGGCGCACAGAGAGGGGCTGCTATTGAACGGAAGAGGAAGAGAGTAAACCGTTTCGTTACGAATCTAATATGGAAAAAGGGGGACGTCGAATTAAGCATGATATAACAGCAAGCGATTCCAACTTATATCGCAATGATGACATTCACCTTTCCGATGTGGGGATAGCTATTTTCTTACAGGAAGTACTGGAGAGTATCTTTTTAAACAGTTCTACTTGACTTACATTTCTGGCGGGGGTGGGTGGATGGGTTACTCATCTGTGGCGACCCCAGTGAGACAAGCCCCTCCTGTTTATGCTCTGAGCTGCTCACATCTGATATATCGGCGCTCAGTTATTATTATATTATTAGTCTTAAACCTCTCCCCCCAGGGTTTCGTCACAAATGTTGTAATAAACTGTGCCCATATTCTATTCCACACAAATATTGCGTTTGTTGTTTTTAGTGTTTATAGTGAAGCTTCACAAAGGATCATATGTTGCTCAAGGTTCAATATTTGTTAAGTTTAGCATATTACCTTGTCAGGATGATAATGGTTAATTATGACTCATTCTGCTTGTTTTTGCATGGGGGACAACTCGACAATGATCCCTCTAGGATTCCATTGCAACAAATTATAAGAATTTCTTTCGAATTATTTTTGAATGTGTTGGAAATGGAATGTTTTCATTTTGTTTGTTTATTTTCACATAAAATGAATGCGAACCAAGACTTTCCGTATACATTTATTGCACGGGAAATAAAAAAGAGATCGATCAACTTCTCACTGCCGTCCCGTTGTATAAAATAATTGTACCATTTTACATTGTAGAGCGTTTCTGGTAGTAGTGCAGACTAGTGTCTTAAGAAATCACTCCAAACTTTTTTTGGCGCACACGGAAAAGCAAAACATATATAAATAAATTCTTAAAATAAATAAAACAACACTAACAGAATTCATGCACAGATTGCTTTTTTAATCATTAACGGAAAGAACAGACGACAATCAGTGACATCTTTCAGCTCAGTTTCCGAAATGATATGGTGTTCAGATTCCAAAAGTAAACTTAGATTTGTTACAAAGTGTAGTAATTGTGTTTACATTTCCTTAATACAAAATTTCTAGATCCAAAGTATACTTAGATATGCCATGATTTAATATCTACACTTTGTGTATTTCCATGAAATAAATAATTACCTGCGAGATATCATAATTGAAATAGTGCTAACTATTCAAAATCACGGCCCAGTGGGCGCTTTGCACATTACACTATTTCTCGAATTGCATTTAGTATTCTTCCATTTGTAGTTTTGTGACAGAAGTCTAGCGCATTCTCCATTGACCACGTTGTCCACCCCGTGATTCCTGTTCCAGTTGGTGTAGGCTGATGAAGACCCGTCTTCCCACTCATAGGCGTCGGCAGCATTATTGTAGACGTACCCTGCACATATAATACATCATAGTTTATACCGAGGTCTTTAACGATTTTTCACAGATGAATGCACTTTAATGAACGTAAATACTAAGTCTCACGATGAAATTAATCCCTTCTGTTTCTGCAGACTTTCAATTCGACAGTGTCCTCATTTACAGGACCGTTGCATTCACTTATTATTTATTACTAATTGAAGATAAATATAGATTAATTTGATCCAAACACTTTCAGTAATTGAATGACCCAATGATGAAATCTCTGAAAGTTATATAGCAGATCGGATCGTTCGTGAAACCAAAACTTATGCTTGACCCTAAATATTGTACAACAACGTGCCTACACAGCAGTGTACATGCTATGTATACCTGCTACATGCAATAACAGACGGATACACTGACGAAGAAGATACGATTGAAGAGAGAGAATGAGTGAGTGACGTTCAGCAGTAGTTCAGTTTGTTCGAAGCACTGCTGTGAAACTCCTGTTGCTGGGTACGTTGCTGTGTACGATGCTGGGTATGTTGCTGGGTACGTTGCTGGGTACGATGCAGTGTACGAAGCTGGGTACGTTGCTGGGTATGATGCTGGGTACTGTGCTGGGTACGTTGCTGGGTATGTTGATGGGTACGTTGCAGTGTACTGTGCTGGGTACGTTGCTGGGTATGATGCTGGGTACGATGCAGGGTATGATGCTGGGTACGTTGCTGGGTATGATGCTTGGTATGTTGCTGGGTACGATGCAGGGCTCTGTGCTGGGTACGTTGCTGGGTATGATGCAGGGTATGTTGATGGGTATGATGCTGGGTACGTTGCTGTGTATGACGCTGGGTACATTGCTGGGTAGGATGCTGGGTATGTTGCAGAGTACGATGCTGGGTATGATGCTGGGTACGTTGCAGGGTATGATGCTGGGTACGTTGCTGGGAACGAAGCTGGGTACGATGCTGGGTACGTTGCTGGGTACTGTGCTGGGTTTGATGCTTGGCACGATGCAGGGTACGATGCAGGTGATGCTGCTGTGTATGATGCTTGGTACATTGCGGGGTACTTTGCTGGGTACGTTGCTGGGCATGATGCTGTGTACGATGCAGGGTACGATGCTGGGTATGATGCAGGGTATGATGCTGGGTATGATGCTGGGTACAATGCAGGGCTCTGTGCTGGGTACGTTGCTGGGTACGATGCAGGGTATGTTGATGGGTATGATGCTGGGTACGTTGCTAAGCACGATGCAGGCCACTGTGTTGGGTACGTTGTTGGGTATGATGCAGGGCTCTGTGCCGGGTACGTTGCTGGGTACGATGCAGGGTATAATGATGGGTATGATGCTGGGTACACTGCTGGGTATGATGCTGGGTACGCTGCTGGTTGTGATGCTGGGTATGCTGCTGAGTATGAAGTTGAGTGTTTTGCCGGGTGTTTATGCTGCTGGGTATGTTGCTAGGTATGTTGATGGGTATGATGCTGAATATGTTGATGGGTATGTTGTTGGGTACGATGCTGGGTACGATGCAGGCCACTGTGCTGGGTACGTTGTTGGGTATGATGCAGGGCTTTGTGCTGGGTACGTTGCTGGTTACGATGCAGGGTATATTGATGGGTATGTTGATGGGTATGATGCTTGATACGAAGCTGGGAATGATACTGACAGACCAAAAGGAACACAATCTGCACATTCAATTTCGGTGCTGCAGACTACTGGCGCCTGTACCCGAGCAACATAAGAAGTCTACTTACCAATGTAGACTAGAGGATTGAGCGTCTCTGTCTTCACAGTGTCTCCCACAAAGGTGTTTTCAGCGTCACTGAGAACCGTGAGAACCTGGCTGTCACCCCTGTAATAAAAACAGTATGAAGTTAGCTTCCCACCAAAAACATCATTCAAGAAGATGAAAGAAAACACATATTGAAAACATCTTTTAAGAAACGTTCATACTTCCAGGAATCGTAAGCCATCTCTGAGATAGATGCTAGAGAACACAAACTGAAATGAATGAAAGGTTACGACTCGCAGTAACGCACCAGACAGTTCATTCTATGAAATGTTTAATGGCTATTATTAAGTAGTATATATCTTAAACACCCTTCTTGTACCAGACATAATGTTCTTAAAACAAATATTGATGTAGTAGCAAGATAAAAGACGTTAGTCAACGTCAGTGTATTGAGTTTCTGACATCCCAATGACGTCGTTGCAGCCAAGGTCACAAGAAAAGACGAAGGCCAAATTTATACCATTCATTTGGACGATTTGTTGCGTCTCCTTCACGAACAATTGGGACTGCACAAAAGTAAGTACAAGACTATACTCTGTGTCATTGAAAGAAATTAAATGTCTCCAGCAATCTCATAAAATCAGATCTAGGTTCTCGCTGCCGCTAAACAAAGATCTCAGGACATCTGATTACGGGTCACATCAGAACGAGCTTTCGCGAGCTTTGACCGACCACTGAAATCACTAACAAGAAGTCGACATCAGCCAATTAGAAAGCAGCTTTCTCGAGCATTACGGCACTCGTTTCAACCTGGCGACTTCCATTTCAGACCATACGCTTGAAAAATATGTTGGCACAGTTCTCGATTAAAATTTTGAAAACTGAACATTCCAGAATGTCTTATGTATGGTTGAGATTGTAAAGCAGTGCATCCCACATACTGTGCAACGCCTCCTCCATTCAAATGTTTATCCCACGGAAGCGAGAGATGGACGATAATTTTGATGGAATCAGTCGTACGGGCCGTAACTGTTGTTAGGAATACCCCGTGTTAACGTTTTCGAGGTTGCATGACTAGAAAACACATTCCGACTGTCACTTTCATGATCTGGTAAGCGACGCTTTGGTTGGTCGGATGAAAGGTCGTTCTGACGTGACCCGTAATGGGATGTCCTCAGATCTTTGTTTAGCGGTAGCGAGAACTTAGATCTGATTTTAATGAGATTGATGACTCCAGCAACTTTTGCTGAGCGATGAGTCTACAAACACTGAGAGTCCGCAGTATGGACTAGAGAGTATAGTTCTTGATATTGCTTTGAACCGTTAAGCCTTATCAGATGCAGGCTTTTTTCTTTAGAGAAGTTTGTAAGTGAATCTTCGTTTTTGAAATAGAAGTTGCCTTCTTGTTGCAAAAAGGTTGATTTCATGATATCCAGAAGGACTGCAATCTGAACCATAAACCATATTGATTTTGTGAAATGCTATCAAGTTAGTGATATGACATAATTGGTCACTAGACGACCCACTATTCGCAAGGACATACTGGTCAGTAGAATGCCCACCACCCACCAGAGGGCACTCTGGCCAAAAGACAGTCCACTACCAACAAGGACGTGTACTGGTAACCAGACTGCCCACCGCACACAATGGCATAGTGGTCAATGTACTTCCAGCATTCAAAAGGACATTCGACCCGTGAAGATCCGGGGTAGAATAGGTAAAGAGGCGACTAACGGGTACGACTGGTCAGACTCGCTCATGATATCAATCACTGGATTGTCTGGTCCAGACCCGATTTTTTTTACAGACCGCCGTCATGTAGCTGGAATAAGGACAGTCTGGTCACTAGACTGGCTACTTATCACCAGGATAGTCTGGACAGCAGACTGCCCGCCACTAACAAGGACATACTGACCACTGGAATGGCTACTGATCACCAGGATAGTCTGGCCAACAGAATGCCCGCTACTCAATAGAACATACTGACCACTGGAATTGCTACTGATCACCAGGATAGTCTGGCCAACAGAATGCCCGCCACTCAATAGAACATGCTGGCTACTGATTACCAGGATAGTCTGGCCAACAGAATGCCCGCCACTCAATAGAATATGCTGGCTACTAGACTGGCTACTGATCACCAGGATAGTCTGGCCAGCAGAATGCCCGCCACTCAATGGGACATACTGACCACTGGATTGGCTACTGATTACCAGGATAGTCTGGCCAGCAGATTGCCCACCACTCAATAGGACATACTGACCACTAGACAAGATGTTTACAAGATTATACTACTCACTGGTTACAGAATCCCCTGGCGGCGGCGTACGTGGCGCGCACTCCTGTGTAGAGGTAACAGCTGCCGCCGTTGTGAACCCAGCCTTAAGCAGTGTGGAATCATGATGTGATTGTTGTACACAGTTTTAAACTTTACATGGTATTAAGTTTGCTACACCCATTCTTGAGATACACACGTAAGCAGGACTTTATGTTACTGATTACTGACCAATCAGCAAGATACATTAGACACAGTAGCACAATTCAGGAAGGTAGAGTATGTTGCATTGCAAGATTGTTTCCGGGACATATTTACAATGCGCTCGCCACTCACGTGTTGTGCTTTAGTCACAATGAGGTCATAGCTGACCTTACTAATCAGTACAGTGAGCGTAGTGCGAAGCAGTGTGGGTAATCTGTTCTATTTAGATTAAGATTTATATTGGGATTACGTTGTGTTGATTAGCAAGCGACCTTTAAGTATGACAAGCGCGTAGAAAATCAGAACATACCTGTTGAGCACGGCTTTGCAGCTGACAGAGTTTCTGAAAATGACGGAAACCAGGCTGAATAGCTGATACGACTGGTTAGGCAGAGGCTGATGTACTGACGACTGCAGCAAATATTAGCTTGAAGGTTTTCTGGATATTAAGTAAATAATTATTTTTCCTTTGTTTCAGGAAGATATATTAACTCACCGATCTTGCAGACGACACCGAGCAGGTTTCCCGTTTTAACCACTTTCTTACTGAACAGCCTTGTGTCCTCCAATCCTGAATACGCAGAGATGAATATCATTTTACATTTGAATGTGAACATTTCAAGGATACTTACCAACAACATTTTGCCATAATCCAAATACAGATTAATTCCCAATGCTGCTGTCATCCTCATGTAAACACTTAGTTAAATAATACCTGAATACTACCACCTACTCACCGATAAACTCCCCTTCTTCCTGTTCAACCCAGTAGTCCATGGACTGTCCAAAGCGGTAGATGTGTTCCTTGACGGTTGCCTGTAGAGAGAGTGAGACTATTAGAAATCACCTGAAGGAATGGTATCAAGGTTTCAATCATAATTCAACTGCAGGCAGATGTTGTAGTATAAGACGATTCATGCTGATGAAAAGAATTCATAATTTGTGTGTATTTGTATTTCTAGTGAAAATATATATTTAGAAAATGTACACTGATTGCGTCCCTGAACTAATGCACCCTACCAGATATGTTCTGTTGTTATAGTTACCAGATATGTTCTGTAGTTAAAGTTACCAGATATGTTCTGTTGTTATAGTTACAAGGTATGTTCTGTAGTTATAGTTAACAGACACCCACTGTATTGATGGTTACCAGACATGTTCTGTTGTTATAGTTACCAGATATTTTCTGTTATAGTTACCAGATATGTTCTGTAGTTATAGTTACCAGACACCCACTGTATTATGGTTACCAGACATGTTCTGTAGTTATAGTTACCAAACAGACACTGTATTGATGGTTACCAGACATGTTCTGTAGTTAAAGTTACCAGATATGTTCTGTTGTTATAGTTACAAGATATGTTCTGTAGTTATAGTTACCAGACACCCACTGTATTATGGTTACCAGACATGTTCTGTAGTTATAGTTACCAAACAGACACTGTATTGATGGTTACCAGACATGTTCTGTAGTTATAGTTACCAGACACCCACTGTATTGATGGTTACCAGACATGTTCTGTAGTTATAGTTACCAGACACCCACTGTATTGATGGTTACCAGGTACATTGTCTAGGTATAATATGAATTTACTGTATGTACGGTAAGCAGGTCCCTTTGGTAGTTATGGTTACTAGGTACCTGCTATTGCTCTGGTGACAAATGGGAACATTCCGTAGTTCTAGTTAATAGACCCCTGCTGTACCTATGGCTATGGGTATATTCTGTACTCGTTCAGACAAGGTACCTCCCATTGTTCTGGTGACGGGCTACCTTCCATATATATATTTCTAGTAAATACATGTAGTGACTTGGTACCATCTGTAGTAGTAGTAGTAGTAACGGGATACCTGCAGTTCTGGTTTCTGTAGAAATGGTTATGGGGTAACCTCTGTAGCAATGGTTGTGGGATAACTTCTGTAGAAATAGTTATGGCGTAACTTCTGTAGCAATGGTTACAGGGTAACTTCTGTAGTAATAGTTACAGGGTAGCTTATGTAGTAATGGTTACTGAGTGTCTTCTGAAGTAATGTTTACGGGGAACTTCTGCAGTTCTGGTTACGGGGTAACGTCTGTGGTAATGAATACGGGGTAACTTCTGCTGTTTTGGTTACGGGGTAACTTCTGCAGTTCTTGTGATGGGATAACTTCTGAATTTCTCGTATCGGGGTAAATTCTGCAGTTCAGGTTACAGGGTAACGTCTGTGGTAATGACTATGGGGTAACTTCTGCTGTTTTGGTTACGGGGTAACTTCTGCAGTTTTGGTTACGGGTAACTTCTGCAGTTCTGGTTACGGGGTTACTTCTGCAGTTCTGGTTATGGGGTAACTTCTGAAGATCTAATTATGGGGTAACTTCTGCAGTTTTGGTTACGGGTAACTTCTGCAGTTCTGGTTACGGGGTTACTTCTGCAGTTCTGGTTACGGGATGACTTCTGCAGTTCTGGTTACGGGGTAGCTCCTGCAGTTCTGGTTACGGGGTAGCTTCTGCAGTTCTGGTTATGGGGTAACTTCTGCTGTTTTGGTTTCGGGGTAACTTCTGTAGTTCTGGTCACAGGGTAACTTCTGGAGTTCTTGTAACGGGATAACATCTTTGGTAATGGTTGAGAGTACCTACCCATGTCTGAGCGTTGGATACATCAGCCAGAGTGCCGCGTCTAGTGTAGCAGGTGTGCTTAGCGCTGTTATAGTTCTGGGCTGTGTTGATGACGAGGTAACAGTCGCCGCCATTCAATTGTTGTCCGTAATTGTTGTGACCACAACTTACTGGAATGAAGGAGAAGGTCGTATGGACAAAGCTTGTACATTTCGTATATCCTCATGTACACAAGTACTGTTTTGAATATAAAGTTGAAGTACAGCTCAAAAATGAAATCTTCCTACATATGTTCACAAGAACGAAGGTGTAAAATGAAACAAGTTGTTCACATGTAGCATTTCATACAGCTGAGTTAGACCATCGAGATCACACCTCTCTTTACCTCTGTAATTACATTAATCGCAGTATGTCTTGTTGACTAGCGGCGGAGGGTAGGTTTGGATTAGATTGGGTTGGGGTAGAGTGGTTGGTTTCAAATGAAGGGTAGCCGACCCAACATGTACCTGGTGAAGGAGGGCTTGCACTGAGGGGTAATTGACACAACACGTACCTGGTGAAGGAGGGCTTGCACTGAGGGGTAGCTGACACAACACGTACCTGGTGAAGGAGTGCTTCCACTGAGGGGTAGCTGACACAGCACGTACCTGGTGAAGGAGTGCTTCAACTGAGGGGTAGCTGACACAGCACGTACCTGGTGAAGGAGGGCTTCCACTGAGGGGTAGCTGACATAATGCTCGGTGACTCCCTCCTGTTCCACTGTCATCCCAGCCGTAAAGGCTTTTTGCTCGTATAACTGTAATTATAATACCCAACACAATGTTATCTCCCCGACGGTGCACAACATATTCTCAGTACATGATAAAATTTTATCCTCCGTAACTACTTTCGATGAGTTGCAGGGTATTGGTTGAAACAAACACGTGCTCAACACACAGCAATGGACAGTTCTTCAATTCATTATATTTCGAAATATTTAGAACTTACCACCTAGAAGAATTCATAATGTACCAACCTCCGTAGTCTTGTTTTGTTGACATGCCCTGACCAGGCATAACATTGTTGTAACTGCCAAGTGTTGTACCATCGATGAAGACGTAGGTGCCATCCGTGGCAACGTCGTTCAGACCAAACCAGGCATCAGTCTTGAAGGGTCTCATGTAGCGCTCCACTTCAGACTGAAAGTGATCATTATCTACATCAGCAGCATGGCGGTTGGAGGAAGATGAATACATGACACCTTTTTTGAACGACATCTGAGGGCTAGTTCTTGCCCTGTCATCATTCATCTGATAAAGGGGGCAGAAGTAACCCTGAAACGTCGCTACAAAGAATATAGAAGTTGTTATCAATATAAACAATGTCGTGTAGTCACGTCGTATTTATTCCCTCTTTATCTGAATTACCTGTACACTTTGTGAGTTGATGGTGGCCAAGTTCCCGCCAAGTTTGACGCACTGTGCCTGAGCTTCTACATACGAATAGGTACCGGAAGTGAGGTAATAACACTTCCCGTCAATCACTGCGCCTGTTGTCCTACACTTGACCATTGCCGAAAGTGCAGCTGAAACAATAATCAGATCACAACTATATATCTTGTCTTCATCAATTTTACTTTTTGGAGGTCAAGTAATACGCAAGGTAGGGTCTCGTTCATTCGGTACAACCCAGACACATTTATTTAACGCTGCTTGATGATGTTACCTATTATTTTATCAGTCATAGACGCTTACCGTTGCCGGTTGTGTAGACAGCGTTAGCCAGAGAACCTCCACAGTTGACGGTGTTGTCGCCAGAGCAGGACTTGGAGCACATGGTGCTGTTTCCAAAGCCTCCGTACATATTCCCACATCGGCATTCGTTACCGTTCTGTAGAGCAGCGTACACATAGCCCCGGTAGTAGCATCTGAATAACACATTAAGATTGAACACTATTTTAAAGATTATTCGTACATAGATAAACATTGCATTTCCTTGTTTCTTTCTTGAAAACAAATTTACAATGACTTACGACTTGGCCTGTCAATTTTATGTTAGAAGTATCCATGAATTAACACCACATGTTGTCCACCCACCTTTCTACACAGGAGCTGACAGTCATGGACATCGTCAGCTTAATGAAGTCATGGGGGACATCTCTGAAGTTGAAGCTGTCCATGTAGCAACCTTTCAGTTCGGGTGTTGATCGACCTATGGTCACAATGAGAGAGGTTCACTCGCAACGCATGGCTTCCTGGTCGTGAATATATTCGGGCTACCAAAAAGTGGAAATCTTAATCAGCACTGCTTTACATCAGATAGACACACTGGAATAGTGTACTTACCTTGATGTACAGGGTCAGAGGGACACATGGAGTAGAGTACTAACCTTGATGTACAGGGTCAGAGGGACACACAGGAGTAGAAGCTGTAGCACTGAAGAAATTCGCCTCCACCTCGGCACCAAATCCCTGGATGAGAATATTAATAAAATCAGGTAGGGCTGCAGTTCACGACACTGAGTGCAATAATAGCATCATGTCGAGCTGAAGTTCATCCTCCTGAGTACAGCGTCAGAATCAGGTATAACAACTGTTATATTTGGGATAACACTTTCTCAGTAAAGTACATTTTCTAGTACGTTTTGGAGTCCGATTCGGGATTCGAACCCACAGTCGGAGTGAGGCACCTAATCGCCAACTCACAAAGTTAGTCATCTAACCCATTCAGGTACCTTGGCTTTTACAAAAATTAAAGTCCGACAACTGGTAGTCTAGACATGTAATTGGCACGGCTCATATCAGGTAGGTATGAACTTCATGCACCTATGTACATTGATGGAATACGGTAAGGCTGACACTGGAAGGATACTGCTAGAAGAAATATCTTTTATGTTTGGCACTGTTTGTTTGAATTGTTGACAGTCAACTTGACAAGAAGTAGAAGCTCGAGTGATATATAATTCGCGGCCTTTTTACAAACAGCTCAGATATGTATCGGTGTGGACCATGTTTCATACTGTGTTAATACCTCGTGCTCTTGAGTTTAACCAACGACTTGTAAGACATTGAGTAATTTTCACACAAACGATGACACGCCATTATATGAACAAACAATTCCCTGTACACCAAATCACTCAGTTAACGCATTTAGTTTCATGAGCAATTGGGTATGCAGAAGACCTAGCAACATGTGATGTGAGTGAGGGGGTGGGGCGGGGTATGTCAACTCACCTCTGATGTTGTCTTGGTACAAGGCTTAGCCGTGGGTATGTTCACTGCATCCTGAAATATTTGATGTGGATAGTTATGTTTGAACTAATACAGGAAAACCTCTTCTTTGAAGGTAAAGTATTTTTTTGCGTTTTCTAAGGCAGTAAAACTTACATCTTCAGCTATGTTGTAGGTTCCATCGTATGCGTCGTTGTAACAGTCGATGAGGTCATCGCTGCCACCTGTTCTGGTGATGGTAAGTGACGGGCATCGGTACCCTGGACATTTCTCGCCATCAACGCGATCAACACTGGAGTATATCTTGATGAATAACAACCTGTAAAGCATGAGAAAGTAAATGAAATAAATTGGGATTCCAGAGTGTGAATACAAGACACGTTTGCATCAGGAAACACTGAACCTTCTCCTCGGTGAGACTGGGTATACTGTGCAGCACCATTACACACCCTGTTAACACCTTCTCCTCAGTGAGACTGGACCCTTCCTTACTATGCAGCACCTTTACCCTGCCTGTAAACACCTTCTCCTCGGTGAGACTGGGCCCTTCCTTACTCTGCAGCACCTTTACCCTCCCTGTAAACACCTTCTCCTCGGTGAGACTGGACCCTTCCTTACTCTGCAGCACCTTTACCCTTCCTGTAAATACCTTCTCCTCAGGTAAGACTTGGTATACTCTGCAGCACCTTTACCCTCCCTGTAAAACCTTCTCCTCGGTGAGACTGGACCCTTCCTTACTCTGCAGCACCTTTACCCTCCCTGTAAACACCTCCTCGGTGAGACTGGACCCTTCCCTACTCTGCAGCACCTATACCCTCCATGTAAACACCTCCTCGGTGAGGCTGGATCCTTCTTTACTCTGCAGCACCTTTACCCTCCCTGTAAACACCTTCTCCTTGGTGAGACTGGACCCTTCCTTACTCTGCAGCACCTTTACCCTCCCTGTAAACACCTTTTCTTCGGTGAGACTGGATCCTTCTTTACTCTGCAGCACCTATACCCCCCCTGTAAACACCTTCTCCTCGGTGAGACTGGACCCTTCCTTACTCTGCAGCACCTTTACCCTCCCTGTAAACACCTTCTCCTCTGTGAGACTGGACCCTTCCTTACTCTGCAGCACCTATACCCTCCCTGTAAACACCTTCTCCTCGCTGAGACTGGATCCTTCTTTACTCTGCAGCACCTATACCCCCCCTGTAAACACCTTCTCCTCGGTGAGACTGGGCCCTTCCTTACTCTGTAGCACCTATACCCTCCCTGTAAACACCTTCTCCTCGCTGAGACTGGATCCTTCTTTACTCTGCAGCACCTATACCCCCCCTGTAAACACCTTCTCCTCTGTCAGACTGGACCCTTCCTTAGTCTGCAGCACCTTTACCCTCCCTGTAAACACCTTCTCCTCGGTGAGACTGGACCCTTCCTTACTCTGCAGCACCTTCACCCTCCCTGTAAACACCTTCTCCTCAGTGAGACTGGGCCCTTCTTTACTGTGGAGCACCTTTACCCTCCCTGTAAACACCTTCTCCTAAGTGAGACTGGGCCCTTCTTTACTCTGCAGCACCTTTACCCTCCTTGTAAACTCCTTCTCCTCGCTGAGACTGGGCCCTTCTATCCTCTTCAGCACCTATACCCTCCCTGTGGACTCTCTCTCGTCGATGAGACTTGTCCCTTCCACTCAGTTCAGCACCCTGTAAACACCCTGTAAACACCGTTGTGTCTTGGCCCTTCCATACTCTGCTGTACCTATACCCACCCTGTGGACTTGTCCCAGAAGTAGGCCCTCCCCGTGGTGTCGCGGTCCAGGTCGCTGATGCTACTGACGCTGATTGCAGGAGTAGCTGACCCTATCCTTGGAAGTCCACTGGAGAAGCTGAAGCTTGTCACGTCTTTCGGATAACACAGGCCGAGTCTGACATAGTCCCCACTGAAGCAGCAATAGATACATTTTGTTATTACCGAAACGTGAAGTAACTGGCATAGACATATTTGCACACACTCACAAACAGGGATATAAAATCGGTTTTATGAAGTGTACTACGCTGTCATAATTTCTGACTGTTATGTTATGTCATTTGTAGCTGATCATTACGTCTGCTATCATTCCACATATGAAAGGAGATGTAGTTAACACAAAGGTAGACAACAAAATGGAAGTGTGTGCAATCTGAGCCGATGCTTTGCTGAGGGATAACACTGACTAGATTAACCAATATGCATATTACGAATAGCTGCATAACGACACAATGAACTGGGGGGACACAGGACAGACACTTTCCCGCTGCACACGCTACACTAGCATTAACGACGTCGTTGTATAAAGAACTTACCTTTCCAGGTTTTCTGCAGATATCGTTAGCTTCGTCGGAGCTGTACCGTTGAAATACACCGTGTAGGATTTCTTCTTGATTACCAGGTATATATTTCCCTTGGTGCCTGTAAGAAAGGACAAAACTTGCTTTTTACACAAACACCATTGAAGAGCCGATCCGTGTGTTATTTGACATGATAACAAAGCTCCATACATGTACCTCCTATATCCATCAGGCGAAGGATATATCTCGGATACTCATGTGTCTGTTCTGTGTGTAGTTTGATAAAAACGAATGGAAAAGTTGATGATTTTATTTGATCCCAACTATCGACAACGTGAGGCATATTACTGCTCACAACATTAAAACATTTAAATATGCCAATTTTTTTAATTATGAGTTGAAGTAAAGCAGGTCATCGACGTCTGAGACATGACCTAAGGAAACAGGTACATACGAAACACCTCTGGATAGATATAAAAGATACCTTTCAAGGCAAAAGGATCATCAGGTCTGTCGTCCCGGCGCATGTACATGGGGTAGTTCTCCTTCAATGTTTTAAGAGCTCCGTCTCCCTTAAAGACAGCCTGGAATGTGAGTTAAGAATCTGGAGACTTCGCAAACAGAAGAGCGATGAAAGTCGGTTGCACTCAACAGTATCAATCTTCACTGATCTAGACATGCCGTCACATGGAATAACATGTATCTCTGAAGTCAGCAATAATACAGTATCATCACCAAAGTAACTCCTGGTATAATAATGGTATGCCCAACCCGTACCCGACATGCACCCAATATACTTTCAAGGTACCCAATAGTTTAGATGAGTGATTTCAAATGAAAATTTATGAGTCAACCCAATGTCGATGTTGTGGTCATGTGTAAGTGCTCATTATCGATTGTTGGGGAAAGAATAAACATGCGGGACAGTTTTAAAGAAAGCATTACAGATATAATAAAGAAAATATAAGGTCACTTTGAAATATAAATTAAACCAAGCCAACCCGACACACCCACACCACACCTGTAGACACGTTAAGGGATACACGTTAGAGGCACACCTGTTACCATCTCTATGGGTGAATGAGTATGGTTTTACGCCGCTTTTAGCAATATTCCAGCAAAAGTACGACGGGGGACACCAGACATGGGCTTCACAATCGAACCCGGGCCTTCGGCGTGAAAAGCGAACGCTTTAACCACAAGGCTACCCCACCACCCACCATCACTATGCTCCTAACATCAGAATGCTATATGTCGCTGTTCAGGTATACAATTGGAAGGTAAACAATAACGAGTAAGAGAGTGAATCTTTCAATATTTCGCCAAGTATTCATTCCTACCTTAGCGTAGTCATGAGGGCACACAGCAAAGTTAGACACAGGTCTATAGTCACACTGGTTGGTGGTGTGGAAACGTGTGTTCGGCACGAACTGGGTCCCTGCCATCCCCGACACGCTGCCGTCGATGTCCCTGAAGGTGATCTGTCTGTTGCCGTCTCTGTTCTTAAGGGTGGGGACAGATGGATCACCCTTAAAGGCCCAGTTGCCCTCAGTCTGAATGATGGATAGTTCATTAATAGAATTTAATACACAGTGCTATTTTACTGTACGATTCACATCACAGTATTGCAAACAAGACAACACTGGACCTTTACGTCAGTACACAACGACGCAGATAGACGTCGTACATGAGCAATGATGCTCGTCATCTGTTACATTTTTCATTGTACAATCTGGTGAAAATGGTTTGATTTTGCACCGGGCCTTGATAGACAGGTAACACATGACAAATACATACCACATCGCAGAAACCGAACTTGATCCCCTCAACATGGCTGCTGGCTTTAGGGGGGTAGGGGTTGCTGCGCTTCACACTGATGGACCCCGCGTACCTGGTGATCTGATCTGATGTAATCGTCTCATACTTGTCAAAGAAGGTATTAGTCACGTGTCCTGGGCCCTGGTAGAACAACACCCCTTGGAGAGGTTCATCGCTGGAGAAAGAACAAGCTTTCATAAAAAGAGTGTTGTTGATCTTTCTGACTTTCAACACGGTCATTCCAAAATTGCCCATAAATAAAATCTTATTTCTTAACACACGATGACTGATATCGAGGGCTTCTTGTTATTTATTTTTTTCAAGCTTGCAGCAGGCAAAAAATAACCGGCGTATAGAGAATATAAATATACATAAATCCTGGAATGCAAACAAAATGACGATGACATACGCGGCCCCTGATCTTGACCGCCCAAAGGGTTCCTGTGGCAGTCCCAGGTTGTCCGTCTCCCCAACAAACAGGGAGTTGGTTATCTCAGCGTATGTCTCAAACGTCCCTGCAGCCATAGTGATGCCTCTCGTAGCATCTGCCAGGCTGTGGAAATATATGTGAACATGCACTAAACACCAAGACCGTTCAAGGTGAGAAAGATAATGCAATTGTAATGCGGAAGACTCTAATTGTATAGACGTCCTCTTCTTCCTTGTTAACATAAAGCAGATATCCTTGTTAATGTAAAGCAGATATCCTTGTAAACGTAAAGCAGATATCCTTGTTAATGTAAAGCAGATGTCCTTGTTAATGTAAAGCAGATATCCTTGTTAATGTAAAGCAGATATCCTTGTTAATGCAAAGCAGATATCCTTGTTAATGTAAAGCAGATATCCTTGTTAATATAAAGCAGATATCCTTGTTAATGCAAAGCAGATATCCTTGTTAATGTAAAGCAAATATCCTTGTTAATATAAAGCAGATACCCTTGTTATTGTAGAGGTGATTATCTTCTTAACATAAAGCAGATATCCTTGTTAATGTCAAGCAGATATCCTTGTAAATGCAAAGCAGATATCCTTGTAAATGCAACGCAGATATCCTTGTTAATGTAAAGCAGATATCCTTGTTAATGTAAACCAGATATCCTTGTTAATGCAAAGCAGATATCATTGTTAACATAAAGAAGATATCCTTTTTAATGTAAAGCAGGTATCCTTGTTAATGTAAAGCAGATATCCTTGTGAATATGAAGCAGATATCCTTGTAAATGTAAAGCAGATATCATTGTTAATGTAGAGGTGATTATCGTCTTAACATAAAGCAGATATCCTTGTAAATGTAAAGCAGATATCCTTGTTAATGCAAAGCAGATATCCGTGTTAATGTAAAGCAGATACCCTTGTTAATGTAGAGGTGATTATCTTCTTAACATAAAGCAGATATCCTTGTTAATGTCAAGCAGATATCCTTGTAAATGCAAAGCAGATATCCTTGTAAATGAAACGCAGATATCCTTGTTAATTCAAAGCAGATATCCTTGTTAATGTAAAGCAGATATCCTAGCTAATGCAAGGCAGATATCCTTGCTAGTGTAAAGCAGATATCATTGTTGACGTAAAGCAGATATCCTTGTTAATGCAAGGCAGATATCCTTGTTAATTTAAAGCAGATATCCTTGTTGACGTAAAGCAGATATCCTTGTAAATGTAAAGCAGATATCCTTGTTAATGTAAAGCAGATATCCTTGTTAATGTAAAGCAGATATCCTTGTTAATGTAAAGCAGATATCCTTGTCAATGCAAAGCAGATATCCTTGTTAATGTAAAGCAAATATCCTTGTTAATATAAAGCAGATACCCTTGTTATTGTAGAGGTGATTATCTTCTTAACATAAAGCAGATATCCTTGTTAATGTCAAGCAGATATCCTTGTTAATGTCAAGCAGATATCCTTGTAAATGCAACGCAGATATCCTTGTTAATGTAAAGCAGATATCCTTGTTAATGTAAAGCAGATATCCTTGTGAATATGAAGCAGATATCCTTGTAAATGTAAAGCAGATATCATTGTTAATGTAGAGGTGATTATCGTCTTAACATAAAGCAGATATCCTTGTAAATGCAAAGCAGATATCCGTGTTAATGTAAAGCAGATACCTTTGTTAATGTAGAGGTGATTATCTTCTTAACATAAAGCAGATATCCTTGTTAATTCAAAGCAGATATCCTTGTTAATGTAAAGCAGATATCCTTGTTGATGCAAGGCAGATATCCTTGTTAATGTAAAGAAGATATCCTAGTTAATGCAAGGCAGATATCCTTGCTAGTGTAAAGCAGATATCCTTGTTGACGTAAAGCAGATATCCTTGTTAATGCAAGGCAGATATCCTTGTTAATTTAAAGCAGATATCCTTGTTGACGTAAAGCAGATATCCTTGTAAATGTAAAGCAGATATCCTTGTTAATGTAAAGCAGATATCCTTGTTAATGTAAAGCAGATATCCTTGTTAATGCAAAGTAGATATCCTTGTTAATGTAAAGCAGATATCCTTGTTAATATAAAGCAGATACCCTTGTTATTGTAGAGGTGATTATCTTCTTACCATAAAGCAGATATCCTTGTTAATGTCAAGCAGATATCCTTGTAAATGCAAAGCAGATATCCTTGTTAATGTAAAGCAGATATCCTTGTTAATATAAAGCAGATAACCTTGTTAATGCAAGGCAGATATCCTTGTTAATGTAAAGCAGGTATCCTTGTTCTGTAAAGCAGATATCCTTGTTAATGCAAGGTAGATATCCTTGTTAATGTAAAACAGATATCCTTGTTGACATAAAGCACATATCTTTGTTCACGTAAAACAGATATCCTTGTTGACGTTTTGTGTCATGACATCACAGTTGACGTCATGTTGACGTCATGTGGATATCCTTTTGGACACGATTTCCAACATAAAGAACACGACTGTTACCTGTTTATCAGGCTCGGATGTATGACGAAACAATGAGACAAATATTAAAATAGTGTTTTTTTTTACTGAAATGTGATTGCCAAAACACGCATAGCCTGTTGTTCAACCTGTCATACAAATGGAACAAATGTTCCTACAAATGGACAAGGAAGCTTAAACTTATGTATGTATGACTATGTATACGTATTCAATGTAGATTACTAAATACTCTATATATTGTGATGGGTGTTCTGATCAAGGAGTCAGTTTTGTTCATACTTACGTGAAGTTACTCATGATGACGATTCCAGCTTTCGTCCAGACATTCAGGCCGTTGTTTTTGTATGCTGTGAACCTGTAGAAAGAGACAAAATGATATGTCATTATTTAAACAAGCTGAATACATTTGCGTTTGTGTACTGTCGAATGTTAGTTCAGAAAAATAAGATTATCATTAAGCATCGGTCATTCTTTTCTCAAATTATTTATCCACGATATTATATAACTATTATTTATGTGAACTATATATACATATAGTGTTAATATGGAGATGAATTCCATCTGGATAACATGATGCATTATGCATATTACTTTCCTTTTTTCAACAGGAGGTCTTCAAAGATGTGTAGTGACTATGTTGGCATGTTATACTGAAAACATTAAGGGAAATATTATGCCATTCACAACCACGCGCATAACGGTTGACTAAGAAGGCAATAACTCTCACCCATAGAGATAGGATTTGTCTAGTGATCCTTTGGTCGCTGTTGGGGGATCCCTTGGTGTGTGTGATATTGTGGCACCGAATACTCCATTCTCGGGGACAAAAACACCGTCTTTTTTCTCTCCGTGAGAAATACGGTGATCGATTCGCAGTGATCTCTGTTGAACAGATGGCATGTCAGCTTATTACCACGCCATATAAAATAATTTTACAGTTTCCGTGGGGTGGCAAAATGTCAATTAATTGAACTAAACAGCATATCATAGTTAACCCCTTAGCAGTCTTAAACATTTAGTGCATTTTGAATATACACGTTCTTCATATCATAATACCTTAAGAAACGCCCAGTTCTATAAACACATTGATATTCGTTTCTCTTCCAATGGCAGCGACACCTTTAACAATGTGTGCATATAGTTTTAGCCCTATCTAGTCATGACAGGCGGCACGGGTGGCCCAGTTGACTAAGTTCCGCCCCTTAATCGGATCCATGTCTGACTACATGTTACATTATTGGGTACTTGTTACATGTAATATGCGCCACATACAAGTGCATGTAATATGTAGTATACACAGCATGACACTTAGGCCATATAAACACATTCGCAAGCATAAGTCATATTCAACAGATTAACACACTTGTTAGTAATAAATAATAGTATAGCACTCTCCAACGGTACACTATGTAGAGGTGCCACTAACCTGGGCGTTAGAGTGAGCCGTGTTGTTTCTGAATTCCTTGACCTTTGTCTGCATGGCATGCAACTTCGGCACTAGCCCTCTCTCTGCCTGGCGTTGTCGGGAGGGACCAAGGGGGAATTTAGATGCTAGTATCCAGAACCCTACATTCTGGAAATCAAAAAGTTATATTATCTGTATCACTGAGTGTGTGATTCAAACATCTTGGGCGTGGCTTTCTAGAAATGGATGCAAGTCGACAAAAAGCCGATGTGAGCATAACCACAAGGTGACGAGTGACATTTTCGAATCTGTAGTATCAATCAAGACCTTATTGACTATATAGATTTCAACTTTTTTATCCTTTACTTGCTCCCATCTGTACTAAGACGTCGCATTAACAGAAGAAAGAAGTTGAAATTCATAAGTCAAAAGACAAAGTTATGACTACTAAATCGTTGTCCCAGTACTCGAAGGCACTGCAACTGACTGAAGAATAACATCCCGTGTCCGGGCAGACATTTGCCGGTCGTGGATTCGATCCTCAGACTTGTGCTGATTCATGCTCTGACAGCGGAAATGTACTGAAGGTTAACGACCTGCGTTAAATCGAGGTCTCCACCCTCATGGAGCCGACTCCCTCACTAACACAGAACTAACAATCAAACCGTATAGAGATTATTTGAACAGCCCGGCAACATAGAAGTTGACATAAATATGATGTTTCATTGATTCTGTAATTATAGTAACGCTTGTCCACTTACATCTGAGCCGGCGGCCACGTTGTTGATGAAGGTGTTGTTGGGGTGTGTGATCCAGTAGGAGGAGAGAGCACTGGGAACACAGTCAGTGTATCAGTTTACCTCGCAATATTTCTATGATTGGCAAAATGCTGGAAATGATATCATTGTCTTCTTTCTTTTATAAAAACAACGTCAATGTGGTAGTTATATATGTACTAGTACATTGCAATTGATTGCACTTGAACTGTCAAGGCGTGTGGGGTTATTCTTACTTGCAGAATTCCTTCATGGTAGAATTGCACCATTCTTTCTTCATGTCGGACATGATGTGGGTGCCATGCATGGTGCCGATACACAGGTTGCTGTCGAAGACGTTCCTCTGCTCCGCGCTATCCTCCAGGAAGAAGCCGTGCCCGCGGTGGAGGTAGCACACATTGTGAGACACCTGGTGTTAAGAAAGTTAAAACCTGACTCTCTTGGAGACACCACGTGGTACGACATAAAGTGCGCATACGTTCTGATGGGTCTAGGACAATTGCCACCCAGACAATTGCCGCCACCCACCCGGAGAGTTTGCACAGAGGACAATTGCCACCCAGACAATTGCCACCGGTCCATTACCACCCGGACAATTGCCACCCAGACAATTCCCACCGGTCCATTACCACCCGGACAGTTGGCACAGAGGACAATTGCCACCCAGACAATTGCCACCGGTCCATTACCACCCGGACAGTTGGCACAGAGGACAATTCCCACGGGTCCATTACCACCCGGACAGTTGGCACAGAGGACAATTCCCACGGGTCCATTACCACCCGGACAGTTGGCACAGAGGACAACTGCCACCCAGACAATTACCACCTGCAACCCACTGCCACCCAGTAAACTGCTCTAACTAGTAGGACTATTTCCAATCAAAATTATTTTGTTTATATTAATGATCTCTTGGCGAGGTGACCCCACTGGTTTGCGGATGGCACATTCAAGACTGTCCACTATCTCTACTACCGACTACTCACCGCCTTTACCCCTGTGTTCTGATGACAAACAAGCAGGAAGCCAAGCAAGTGAGAATTGTTCTATCAAATGAAACAACCCCGTGATTGTGTCCCCGAGACTCTCATGCTCGATTATGAATTAGCCATCTGTAAAGTTGGGGTGTAAGACTATATTAGTATTATCTGTTGTACTTGTGACAGTTGAAGTTTTACTGGAATATTTGACCGCCGTTGTTAAGGCTTTTTTTGTGTAATTAACTGAATAAAGAAACCATTAACATGTTGAAATTGTTTTGATGGATGGTAATAGTCCTAGTGGCAATTGTCCAAGGTGGCAATTATCCGGTTGGCAATTGTCTGGGTGGCAATTGTTGGATGGCAATTGTCCTGCCCCCGTTTTTTGAGACACCTGGTGTTACAATAAAGTGAGACACATGGTGTTAACGTGTTTCTATATGAATGTATATTTGTCAGAAGAAAATACACTAAACTTATAAATGAGATACAAACTCCTCATAACGGCTAGTTGGGATTAACCGGCATAACAATTAGACCACGGTCAACTCAAGGTCAGTGCAACTGTAACAGTTATTATATTATTATTACTGTGGTACTTGACTCAAATGAAAGTGAAATTTGGTAAATATAAAAGTAATCTTATCAATCTTCCTTTCACTGTAATGTTTCAGAATAGCCTGAGTCAGTGTCATAGAGCATTCTGTCACACCGCCATAAATGAGTACACTTCGGTGTTAGGCGAGAAACCTAATGTTTTCCAAATTTTATGATTAATCACAATGTGAGACACGTTGTGTTTTACCTCACAGATAACCCACGTTCCATGCTAAACAAATAGAGAGACCGATAACAGATAGTAGTTTAAAAGTAATGTACTTATGTGACCAGAAGATAAGATCAGCAGACGCAGTGAATACAGATAGCTCAACACTTCACTAACCTCAGCTCCATCTGAGCCGTGGACAGTGACGCATCTCGTCAGAGAGTGGTGGATGGAGTTGTGACGGAACCAGTTGCCGTCCACGTCGTCGCACATGTGGAAGTGGAGTGGGTAGGTGCCTGAGGAAGAGAATTTACTTATGGTAAGACATCCTGTTAACATCGAATTCAAAAGTAACATATTTTCTAATCTCCTGCTGCAACTCACCGACAAATCGCTGCTGCCCCATGTGGTAGAGTTCAACGCCCTGGATGTGAGCAGCTGTGAAGCCTCTGACAACCTTAATAAAAAACGAAGAGTTGTATGACGTCACAATATATTGTTCATGGTTACATATGAGTATAATAGCATAAAGGTTACAACATTTTCTGAAGGTCACTCATTGTGTTGTGATATTCCATAAGTGTTGGTTAAGCAGCGGAAGATTTAACCATGAAGCAGTAAGACAGTGTTAACCTATAGTTTAATTGGGGACATCGACTCTGAACCGAGGGACCCTGGGGTGACCATGTATGGTATGACATGACTTGTGGCAGTTGGTGATGCTGGTCATGGATTTAAATCTCAGAATCGACCTTGTTGTAATACTTGATTTGTCAGAACCACATCCTTGCTCATGGGTTTCTTTTGGTCTTCCCTTCCACATTACCCTGACAACTGCTCAAACTGGTGTTGAACACACCTAACGTACTCGCCCTCTCACTCACAGGTGAACACACATGTAAAGGCAATGCACATTCTTTAGTATTTGTGGATCCAGTCCGATACTCATACTTCATTATTATTATTATCATTATCGTTACTAAGGAGGATTTATGATTTAACTTAATTTTTTTTCACCTTGATATGACCTCCAAATGTGTCAAATCCAAACAGGTCACAGAAGTACTGATCTTCCGGCTCGTTGACACTGCACCCGTCTTCCGGTATCACGCCCTCTATGAGGATGTTCCGACTCAGCAGTCCCACTTCCGCCCTCTCGTCAACACCAAGAGTTACCTCCCCATAGTGCATGTATTTCAGTGGCTCTGTTGGAGAATTTTTTGATATAAAACTTGGACATAAAAAAACATATAATTGTATGGACATAACATCCTGTTCATATTTCTATACAGATGTTCAGGAAAGTAATTGTCTTTCGTTGATTTTGAATACAGGAAACTTGTTGATCTACGGAAACATTGACAGCAACCCAGATCCCCCAGCTCTACATACCTGTCAGACAGATCTCGTTGACCGCACAAGAAGGACAACTCTTGATGGTCATTTCTTCAGCCTGTCTCCAGTCGAAGTCGGTGGATGCGATGACGATCTTGTCACCTAGACAATACACCAGCAATGTTATTACTCAGCTTTTAGACAGAAATAGATTGTACGTGGTCCCGTCATTATTTGAACAAGTGTTGAATGAAATTGAACTGTATGGTAAACAAAAGATGTTTAATGAGCCTAGAGAAACTCAGGAAATGTACGAGAAGAATATTTACCCGCACTCCACCTGGAAACGTCTGCGTTGAGCTTGAGACAAGGGTACGCAGCTTCGTGTGTTAGGACCTTAAAGTTGACACCTCTCTTCATTTTCGGATTGGAGAACACCTTGCTGTTGACTCTGAACTGGAACCCACTGTAATCAACGGCTAGGTAGCCTGTTTCTACGAAGTCCTTGTCGAGGGGATTAGGAACATATTTTTCGACTGTTGTACCAATATTACCTGGCGAAGTATAAACATGTATGTGTTTCAAGTCCTTGTAAGTGAGTAAGTGTGTTTTACGCCAGAGCCAGCAATATCCCAGCAATAATGCCAACTATATCAGCAATTTCTAGCAATATCCAAGCAACGTCCCATTTACATCTAGCAATATCCAAGTAATATCCAAATAATATCCCCAACTGCATCCCAGCAATATTACCGGTATATCCCAGCAATATCCCAGTTATATGCCAGCTATATCAAATCAATACCCCAACTACATCCCAGCTTTATCCCAGGAATATCTCAGCTATATCTCAGCAACATCCTAGCAATATCTCAGCTATATTGTAGCAATATACCACCTACATGTCAGCACTATCCCATCAATTTGCAAGCTATATCTCAGCAGTATATAGATCATCTGAACGAGACAAAGCAGTGGTTGATAACATGAGCACTGATCCACCCGATCGGAGCACGATGATACACTGTCAGACTTACCACGCATTCATAATTTTAGTGTGCCCACGCAATAAACATGGTGTGTTTGTAACTCGTAATCCGGTATTCGAAACATTTCTGAAATAGCATTGAATTGTGAATCACCTGTTCTTGTGATAAAGGCGTAAGCCTGTCTGCCTGTGACGTTCCTGATGGCTGATGACGTCAGACCCCCAGCTGTCTCCAGTGTTTCGTACACAGCGGCCATGACCCCAATACCAAGTTCACCTTGAAGAGCGACTGCCAGGATCTTGTCTTGGGGAATACCTGTGAGTGCAAAATAAGCAGAACTAATTCGTATTATGAAATCATATCACAACATGACAACTCGTCATAAATATAGATAACGAAACCAAGTTTGGACAACGCCTGAAATGGTAACATCACTTGTTCTAACAGTAAAGACATGTAAGTCGTGTATAAAATCGACATAAAACCTTTCCATATACATAACAAAAAATCCCTGCCAAAAGCGGAGTCGATGGTATAATTCCGACTATATCATAGCCATGCGTCCATGAATCACCATCAAATAGTGACGACACCAGTTCTTTGCGAAAAGGTAAGTGTATCCTGTCCCACGGGGGCACCCGTCACAAACACGTGCAAAAACAAGTTCACCTGATAAAACACAGGAACATGGGGTACAAGTTAAAATAGGAATTTGGGGATAAAATAGGGAATCATGTTTGCCACTGGTGAGTCATATTTGGAAATGTCCTCCACATGTCTACCACAATATTTTTATAAAAGCTTTAAAGAGGCATTGAACGGTTTAACCTTGATCATACAACTTCTGAGCGAAAGTCGTATGACGCTCTTTCAATCTTGATGGAAAGAGCAACCTCATTTGTACCTCAAATGTTGTAAATTGTAGATACCAAAGGCTAGAGCCGCAGAAATTTTGCTGGACATGAAGGGAAAGTTAAAGTCATTCCCCTCCTCACAGAGGCTTTAAGGAATGTGTTTTATCACTCTGAATCTTTATGCATCGATCTAAATTTGAAACAGACGAGTCGTAAGAAAAACCCACAATTATGACCAAGCAAATTAGTTGCAAAAAATAAATTATAGCTAAGCCAAAAAAAACCAAGCCCCAAACAACCTCTTATAACAACAACGTATCATAATGATCCTTGATTAACTGACTTTCTACAAATTCCTGGAACTTGAGGTCCTCGTCAGCGATGTCCTCTCCGGTCCTGAACACGGCAAAGTCCCACAGAGAGCTGTCCTCATTAAACACAGACACGTACAGGCCTTGGGCAGACTCCGCCTGGAACACGCTTTTCTGTAAGATAACATTACTGAACTAAGAAGGAGATATGTCGTTGCGCCGTAAGTGTGGTCCTCATATTTCAATGACTATTTCAAATGTGTTGAAGTGCAATCAGGTTACATGAGTATCACATGAAAAGATGAATGATTATAAAGAATAGTAGTTATCTTTGGAATTAATGTCAGCGATAGCGTCACGATACGCGATGACCTCAACAGAGCAATGTGTAATAGTGGAAATATTTTTTATTCTTTCTTAAATATTACCATATTTTATATTCCACCTGAGACATACACAGGTCTTCGTCGAATCACTAGAGTTACTTCAAGGAATTCAACTGAGGCTGCATTAAGCTGTCAATGAAATGTACATGTAATATCAATACCATAATACCAACCATAGACCCATACATCTGTTACTATGATCGTTGTGTTGCAACAAGTGTTATCATTATTGAGTTAAGTGCTTCCTGTCAATGTTATATTACGCATTCTTTTGCGTGAAACAACAATTTGGCAGGCATGTCCGGGACTGCCAATAGCGGAGTGAACCATCTGTTGCTGATACGGTATCGATATAAATGTAATCTCAAATCAACATCCTACACACTTTGCAATCGTGAACGAGATTAAGGTCCACTGCAGATAATGTAATTCCAGGGGGTCTGTTCAAAACCTAATTACAAGTTACTGCTGAAACTGTATTGTTTGGGAAATTTAAAGGCGATGTAACAGATATTGGAACACTAAATCGATTGACGTTAAAGATCCTGTCATAGGTATCTGAACAGAACGTGAACTCAGGTGTAAGTTAAAGAGGTTGTCATAGGTATCTCAGCACTACATCGACTCACCAGTAAGTTAAAGGGTCTGTAACGCTTATCTCAGCACTACATCGACTCACAAGTAAGCTGAAAGGGCGGTCACGCGTTTCTGAGCACTTCAACGACTCACGTGTAAGTTAAAGGGGCTGTCACGGGTATCGCAGCACTTCTTCGACACACATATAAGTTAAAGGGGTGGTCACGGGTATCACAGCATTTCATGGACTCACCTGTCAGTTAAAGTGGCTGTGAAGAGTATTTCAGCACTTCATCGACTCACGTGTAAGTTAAAGGGTCTGTCACGGTTATCTCAACACTTCATCAACTCAAGTGTAACTTGAAGGGGCTGTCACGGGTATCTCAGCACTACATCGACTCACCTGTAAGTTGAAGGGGCTGTCACGGGTATCTCAGCACTACATCGACTCACCTGTAATTTAAAGGGGCTGTCACCGGTATCTCAGCACTACATCGACTCACCTGTAAGTTAAAGGGGCTTTCACCGGTATCTCAACAGTGACCCCCGTGTGAAAGTGTCTGAACACAACACCAACTCACCTGGAAATCAAAGAGGCTGTCACAGGCGCTGGGTTTAGCTGTCTGGATCAACTTCGTCCACGATGGTTTCTCTTCTCCGTGCACCTCAATCGTGCCTCCTGCAGCCACGCCAATAAACTTCCTCCCAAAGCCAGAAACAGACAGCGTGGAGTTACTTTCGCCTGGGGAAGGGAAATGTTGCAGATCTCAGTATTCTTTCTTGAAGTCATCCAACGATTCCTTCCCATTGATATGCATGTGTTTCATGGTACACAGAGTGAAGATGCTATGGGTAATTAATTATGTAGATTGTCTTAATCGATACATTTGCATTGACCGCCTTATTGTGTTGCAGATATCGGCACTATGTATGGCGGGATAACAATGACATGCTGTATTCCAGAAGGCTGAATAATAATGACATGCTGTATTCAGAATGGTGGGATAGCAATGACATGCTCTATTCCATATGGCGGGATAACAATGACATGCTGTATTCAATAAGGTTGGATAACAATGACATGCTGTAATCTGTATGGTGGGATAACAATGACATGCTGTATTCATTATGGTGGGATAACAATTATATGCTGTATTCATTATGGTGGGATAACAATCATATGCTGTATTCTAGAAGGCGGGATAATAATGATATGCTGTATTCAATATGGCGGGATAACAATGACATGCTGTAATCAGTATAGTGGGATAATAATGACATGCTGTATTCAATATGGCGGGATAACAATGACATGCTGTATTCTATATGGTGGGATAACAATTATATGCTGTATCCAGTATGGTGGGATAACAATTATATGCTGTATTCCATATGGCAGGATAACAATTATATGCTGTATTCTAGAAGGCGGGATAATGACATGCTGTATTCATTATGGAAGGATAAAAATGACATGCTGTTTTCGAGAAGGTGGGATAATAATGACATGCTGTATTCTATATGGTGGGATAACAAGTACTAACATTACACGAGAAATAGAGTTAAACTGGTGTGAAGGGTATGTACACAATTCTTCCTATCTACGTTCACAGAACTCTAAAGTAGAAACGTCTCCTCGATCAGAGACAGGTCGCAAACACATTGCTCTCACAATCTTGGATGTGTGTTTTAACATGCAGACACCAGACGAACATCTCCACGATAACGACGGTTGTGCAAAAGGTTTGTTCCCTGGTCGCGATCGATTCACGGGTTGATTATAAGTATAATGTACCTCACAGCATATGCCTGAAAGATAATAAACAACTATTACGGCAAATAACCGACCTGTAAGTCTGATGTGAGTTTTCCTGGTGAACCTGCAGTCTTCGCTGCCGATCTGGAGGCGGCCTCTGATGAGGATGTAGCTGACACAGACGTTGAGGTTGTCCACGTCGCCCCAGACTAACGCTGCCCCTGCTTCGATGGTGATGGAGGACAGACAGGGCGGGGACACGTTCAGGAGGAGCTTCTTGCCTGGAACCAAATGCATAACTGTTTACAAAAAACTCTGGGTGATTTAACTTGTGCAAAGCACGCCGCTTTTCCCCCCGATACATTTCGGTAAAGCAAAAGAGGTTTGATATATCGTCCTGTATGTATCCTGACATGCTAATGGTCAAAATAAATAAGACAATTACACATTCAACACAAAAGACAAAACTTTCATAAGTTATTTGAATAAGTGAGTGAGTGAGTGAGTGAGTGAGTGAGTGAGTGAGTGAGTGAGTGAGTGAGTGAGCTGCATTTAGCAACATTCCAGCAATATCACGGCGGGGGGCACCAGAAATTTTATCCACACATTGTACCCTTGTGGGAAATCGATCCGGAGTCTTCGGTGTGACGAACGAATGCTTTAACTACTAGACTACCCCACCGCCCCTAAACTGACTTGAAACATTACTATAGTTGCGTGCACATTATCTAATACACCGCAATGAGATAGCAGATAGAATAATGATATCGTTATAGTTTAAACAATCAGTTTTCTCTCGTGAACTGTAAAACAAAAGATATTTATCAACGTGTATGGTGTTAAATGTTGCACCAGATAAACTTTGGCTGACTGTTTTTTAGATGATGTTACTGAGGCATCGTTAAGATAGTGTGCGCCACGAAGTTACAGCAGAATGTTCAAAGTCATAAAGTCCCATGGAAAATAATTTACAAATTAATATCACTATTTATGTGAATGGTTTGTCATACTCGTTACCCAAGTGCAATCATTATGGTTTAGAATGACTAACAAGGGAGTTTCCAACTGCACTTGCCACGTCACACTGGGAATGTTTTTTTCTTTCATGCTTCAAAGTATTGGTTGATTTGTGAACCGTACAAGTTGTCAAGAAGAGAGATAATAGTCAATTGCAGTGCATGTTATGTCTGATGGTAACATATTGCCTTAAAGTAATCATCCGCTTGGAAAGTGATGTACACGTTCGACGTAAATTGAACAAAGTCGTCCCCATGGGAGCGTTTAGATCATTGCGCATGAAAGTGGTGAGGCCTCGGTCATTAATTTGACTAGAGATCTTACATACATAATAATAAACAGAACATTTAGGCTAGGTACTATAATTATCGTTCACAGTAAGTGGTAGATTATATGTTATGTCATAAATAAGTACACAGCTGAGATGTTTGAAGATGTTTCATGACATCAGACACAGGGTGTGTATGCAGTGTCACTCAATCCCGGCCTTGAATCAACTAGTCACCAAGCCACACCGTGTCGTGATGACGGGTAGCCTAGTGGTTAAAGCGTTCGCTCGTCACGCCGAAGACCCGGGTTCGATTCCCGACATGGGTACAATGTGTGAAGCTCATTTCAGGCGTCCCTCGCCGTGATATTGCTGGAATATTGCTAAAAGCGGCGTAAAAACATAGTCACTCACTCTTTCCATCAGGAGATACCTGTACACTGGATCACACTGACTTTAGTTATGGAAAGGTGTGAAGGATTCGACCTATGACAACATTTTTGGCATGACAGAGTTTGTGAAAGATAGACATATGTACTGATGTATGTAAAATCTGTTTACCTGATGGGATAACAACTTGGTCATCTTCTACAGGCAGTACCCCCGATGTCCAGGACGTTGTGTCCCCCCAGTTCTCCAGCCCAGCCTCTAGGTGAGGACAGGCACTTTCTCCCACCCCCACGGACAAACATACTATAGCTAGCTGCAGCAACACTCGCATCTTGGATGAATGGTTATAACATGAATATACAGTCATATTTATACTCAATCGATCGCAGAAACATGACGTCACAAACAGGTTTCTCTATCAACAAGTTGATCAAAGTTTCATGATCCGATCCTGTGCAGTGGAGTGAAACGGGATTACCGTCAGCCGAGCGTGAAGCGTTTAATAAACAAGTGAACAATATAAACAAGATACAGATAAGCCAAACACTTCAGGCTATCCAGCTGGCAAACAATCTAATTTTGTTTGTGACCGGATAAATTGACCAACGGCGTTCCTGCCTTCACAAACTGCTTAATATACATCCAGCAGCTGTTAAGTATGATAAATACATATGTATTGTCGGGTAACAATGGGTAAATAAACATGGCAGGTAAAAGACGGAAATAAGTATAGAAAGCCAAAGTAAGCAGAAATAAGGAGATGCAGCTGATGAAATCAGAAAAGTACAAAAATGACGCTGATTAAGAATTATTTCCAAAATACGCAGAATAAATGTTAAAAGGTTCATTGTAAACTCGCAGATATGTTACACCTCGCCTTGAAGCATTGTGAAACAATAACTTAATTATTGTATATATTTTATCATCAATACTAACAGCAAGTGCCACAAAATTACCTTCATCTTCTCTATAACCGTTTGTTTCTATAACCGCACTCAGCAACATTCCAGCTACACGACACATATCCTTGGATTCACTTGAATTCAAAATCCGTATTTAATAAAGATATGTTACAGATTTATTACACCTCACCTTGAAGCAGTGTGTAACAATAACTTAATTATTGTATATATTTTATAATCCATACTAACATTCATCTTCTCTATAACCATTTTGTCTGTTTGTTGTTTAACGCCGCACTCAGCAATATTCTAGCTATACGACGCATATCCTTGAATTCTCTTTGAATTCAAAATCGTTATTAAATAAAGATATGTTACAGATTTATTACTTCTCGCGTAGAAGCATTTCTAAAAAATAACACTTAGTCTACTTGATACATGCATCAAAATTAGTGTAATAGTCAATTACTTGTACAACTACTATCGACAAAGATTTTAAGTCCTCATTAAATATTAAGTTTAATGCTTTAAAAGAAACCATTTGAGCTTCACCACGCAGTGCATAATTATTTGTTTGTTTGTGTTTGGTCCGCCCCAGGTCATGTGAACACCGTGTTACAACATCGTGACTACTGTGTTGGCTTCGCCACAGTTACAGATGTTTGCAGGTTTGTCCTTGACAGGGATCTGACCCCAAGGTTATCGACTGTAGTCACCATCACAGCGTGGAGTTCACACCCGCATGACGGAACAAACTAGCGGGTTATCAACAAGTATCTCCAACTGAAAGTACAACCGCCATTCACGCGGACCTGGTGTCAACTGTAGGGCATGAGGCTCCTTTTGTTGTCAGAGTCAAGAGGTGGGCAGCCGAGTTCACGGCGGGAAGAGATACTAGTACTGTAGCCTCGAAGATTATCCAAGCTCTGGAAGACCTTAAACTGCCACCACTAAGGAAAATGTTGATAAAATACATGATATGATTATGTATGAAAGACGACTACACGTCACTAAACTGATATAGTAGGTATCTCTCGTGAGAGAATTCAAAACAATTTTGAGGAATGAGGTGGACATGACAAAGGTTTCAGCACTCTGGCTTCCAAGTCTTCCAAGACGCCCCAAGTTCATCATCTTTCGTCATAATTTACGTTGTCATGAGCAGACCCAGCTGATTTTGTTGAGCAATTTGTAACCATGGATGAGTCGTGTGTTCAGCACTTTCATACAGATACGAAATAACGATCAAAGCCGTGGAAACATCTAACGTCTCATCCGAAGAGTAAAAGGCTTCGGATGTTTGGGGGACCTCCTCCGTGGTCTAGTGGTAGAGCGTTCGCCCGGAGAGCGGAAGGTCCGGGGTTCGATCCACGGCCGCGTCATACCAAAAGACGTTAAAAGATGGTACTTGTTGTTACCCTGTCTGGCGCTCGGCATTAAGGGGCTAAAACAAGGACTGGTCAGTATACTGTGTCTGAGTGGGGTATTCATGTTAAACTGCGGCATGGTATCTCAGTGAGCTAGCACTATAAATCGGCATCACTTGTACAAACACACACACGTACATGCACGTCGCTATATAAGTACAATAATCTTGGAAGCGACGTTAAACCCTATTTCGGGGCGGTCGGATAGCTTAGTGGTTAAAGCGTTCGCTCGTCACGCCGAAGACCTGGGTTCGAATCCCGACATGGGTACAATGTGTGAGCTCCATTTCTGGTGTCCCCCGCCGTGTTATTGCTGGAATATTGCTAAAAGCGGCGTAAAACCAAACTCACTCAATCACTCACTAAACCCCATTTCACCTCACCTCACCTCGGATTTTTGGGTTTCCAAAGGAATCTTACTGAAGCGTCAGACCATTTATATTATACTTATCTGCTTTGGCAAATGCGTGAGAATATCAAGGCTAGTGAAATCCCACTGAGGGTGTGTTTTCTCAGGACAATGCACCTGTGTACATGTCTGTTGTCGCCATGACTGCAATACATGACTGTGGCTTTGAACTTATTGGTGATCCTTCGTATTTCATCAGATTTGGTTCCGTCAGAATCCCCCCCTCCCATTCCTTACTTTGAAGAAAGAACTGTCCGACAAGCATAATGCAAATGATGATGGCGATATTTCTGCTGTAGTGAACTGTTTATAGCACCGTGATGAATCCTTTTGCACTAGTGGGTTCCAGGCACTCCACTTTCGTGGGCAGAAGTGTGTGGACTCAGGGGGGGTTTAACACACACACACACACACACACACACACACACACACACACACACTCTCTCTCTCTCTCTCTCACACACACACACACACACACTCACAAACACACACTCTCTCTCTCTCTCACTCACACACACACAAACACACTCTCTCTCACACACACACTAGCGTGGATGCACGTGGACGTTAAACAATTTTTCACTTCATCAACTGTTACCGTCAAGTACGTACCTCTAACATAATGTAAACAAACATGTACAATGCCTATATACGGAGCGGAAACTTTTAATAAAAAAACACCTTGCTCTTTCATGTGAATTTCTCTAAACGGTTCTCTGCACTGAACCTATGCACAAGGTACATCTACAGGCAGATGAACACACGTTTACAGACATGGTTGTACAATTGTGTACCTAATCTGATGCTTCACGTTACACTGTTGGTTAAGACAACAGGAAGGGATTACAAGGTGTCTCATTCAGATTCACTCTAATAATGTTTTTGTATAGCAACTCCAACCACCTACACGCCATATAGATACCAATGTTTCCCGTTAATGAGCGTTAACTAGACTCAATACAATATCAGGCTCTTAGATTAGTCACAGACAGACAATAGTTTATTAACGTCTCACTCCTGTACATACGTAAAACAGCTTTATACAACCTGACATAGATAAAATGTACAGAACCATTCAATAGAATTATGAAAGACGAATTATCACAGAATTTATACATAAATGATATAAAGATGATATAGTAAAAAGTTATCCATATAAAAGATGTTTTCTACGATTAGGAATTAAAAAGCAGACTTTGGCAAGTATAAAACACACACTGGAGTCACTGAAAATAAAACAAAGTTTGTCAATATCAGGTATATCTAAAAATTATAAGATTTAGCAATACATTCATTAAAAAGAGTTGCCCTGATATCATCATATAATGCGCAGTGAAACAAAACATGGACCTCGTCTTCTACGCTGTCATTACAGTGAAAACATTTTCTATTATTGACAGGTACACCTTCGTATCGACCGGTTTCCACTCGAATAGGAGCCACTCCACATCTAAACTTGGCTAGTGCCGATCTATAGTTTCTGGGCATCTTATTTGAAACATAGTATTCTGTCCCATATACTTGTTTGTAACATCGATACATTCTCAATTTATTAAGCCCATTTCGCCCCTCTTCCTTTCTTAACATATCACTCCAACGGGTAACATATTCATTTTTACACCATTGTTCCACCTGTGTACAAACAGAAAATTTATCAGTAAAACCTGTAGCGTTTAATAGATGTCCTAAATCCATATTAGTAAACTTCTTTCTTACCCTACCATTCCAATTTTTACAACCATTTACAGCGTATCTATCAGCCCAGTTAAACACGTGTTTGTTTAACCTACTAGACATATTCTAAAGGCGTCACCATTGTCATCCTACACTTTTCCACTATCTGACAACAGGCGGTATTCATCCCATGTCCCCATTTATAGCGACGTTAGGGGCCTATTTGCCGAGTCCCAAATAGAATCTAATGGCTCTATGGTGTACAGCATTTATTGCTGACACATCATAATTACCCCAGATAGCCGTCCCGTAGTCAAGAACAGACCACACCATACTATCGTACAGTTTGGAATAGGTTTGGAAATGCATACCGCCTATTGTCTTAACTTTGGACATCAACAGGCCCAAAGCCCTATTAGCAGACTTCGCTGCTGCACGTGCCATTGCAGTAAAATCTAAGTGGTCTGTGAACAGTAGACCAAGATAATTATACTTAGCAGCAATGTCTAAAATCATATTTCCGACATTAAAAACATGCTTCGTCTGTATGACAGACGGATTTCTAAAATGGACAATTTTAGACTTTTCCTTATTGATCTCTATCTTATTTGTGCAACACCAAGTATGTAAAACATCTAACAGTAGACTGAGATCAGCTTCTTTCTCAGCTAGCAATGCTAAATCATCTGCATATGCTAATGCTGCAATATTAAAATTGTCTACAGTTACACCAATATTAAGACTGTTGAGAGTATATAATAAATCATTTATGAACAAGTTAAAAAGCAAGGGAGATAATAAACTCCCCTGTTTTAAGCCACGGTTTACCGTGAACCAGGAAGTAAAGAAACCATTAACTCGAACACTGCATTTAACACCCTTGTATAATGATTGCAAGGCAGTTAACATTTTGCCTCCAATACCATGATGAGAAAGTTTATCCCA